GGTCAGGGGTCCCTTTACCTTTTTTAGCTTACCTCACAGGGTTGTTGTGAAGCTAAAACGAGGCGTGTCTACACTACCCTGAGCACCTTGGGAGGAAAAGCGAGGCATGATTAAATGGAATTGTGAATGGTTTTAAGCGGTAAATTGTAAGTTGCTTAAAACTGAGTCAAAGTTGTTTTCCAAATATTTTCAATGTGTGTTTTCATGTTGTAACCCGCCCTGAGGCCTGAAGGTGAACGGCAGGTCATTATTAATTAATTAATTAATTATATTAATAATAATATGCCGGGAATAGAGAAAAAGACCTTTATATCCCTCTATTACTTGGCTCATTTATCTTGCTTTCATGAAACCCTCTCAAAATGGCGGCCTGGCGACACGGCTGCCCTTCTCAAGAAGGCGGCCTCGCCAGTCCCTCTCTTCGTCTCACCGCGACCTTCCCATCATGGCGGCCCTCCGTCCCTCCCGCAATCCGCTTCCAACCAGGGGCACTTCCGTTCCCGCCCCGCCCCATCCCCTTTCCAAAATGTCGGCTGAGAGGCGCAAAACCCCCCCCCTCCTCCAGAGCGTGGCGTCGTCGAAGGAAGAGCGCGCAGGCTGGGTGAAAGGTCGAGGTGGCCACGCCCCCTTTAGCTCGGCTTCCGCCCGTGCGGGGAAACCCCGGAGCGGATATAGCGCCCTCTCTTTCCGGTCTGGCTCCTTTTCGGCCGTAGCTGCCTCCACGCGAACATGCCTGTGAGTCCTTTGCTGGGTCTGGGCGCCAGCGGAGCGGCGAGGCCTTGGTGCCCCGTCCCTCCCCGGCTCCCTCCCTTCGGGCCCCGATGGGTTGGGGAAAGGGGGTCGCTCGTGGTCGTCGCCTTGGGCTTCCACCCCGCTCCAGGGGCCCCATCGCCCTCCCTTCCCTTCCCTCACACCTCCCTGGTCGGGGATGGGAGGCTCAAAATGGCGGCCTGGGGAGGGAGGGGAGATATTTACTTCTCTGACTCCTCCCCTCTCTCCGCTTTTTAAAAATGTTCTCCGTTAATAAGAGATTTATATGAATAGTAACTTGGTTTTGAAGGGAAAGGAGCAGCAGAGCAGCCTGGGAGGCGGGTGCCAGCGAAACCACTTGTCCCAGCTGAGGGTCATCTGGTCTCGCTGCGTTATTTTGTTTAAAAGTGAGCCTATTTTGAGTCGGTGGTGTGTGTGTACGTGTATATATATATATATATATATATATATATATATGTGTGTGTGTGTGTGTGTGTGTATGTATGTCTGTATGTATTTACGTATGTAGCATTTGTATCCTGCCTTATTCTCCAAGGAGCTCAAGGTGGCGTACATGATTCTCCCCCCCCCCCCCAATTTTTTTTTCATGCCCCACAACAACCCTACGAGGCTGAGAGGCAGTGTGTGAGCTTCACGATTCAGGGATTTGAAGTCTGGTCTCTCCCAGGTCCTATCCTGACACTCTGACCATACACCACAATAGCTCTCTACCTTGCAAAGTTTTCTCTTAATCCATGTCTATCTAGATAACATATTTATGGCTTTGGCGATTTCAAAAACAAAGCAAGTTTGTGGAGACTATACTTCCGTGAAATCTTGCAACAGTCCTGGTTGGCTAATAGTCAGGCAGAGGGCAACGTTGGGCCAGTGCCCTGAGTTGCAGGGGTTCTCTGAGGCCACTTGATCGTATTTGAACTGGGGCTTGAGGAACAACTGCTGCTAAACTGGCCCTCTAGAGGTGGTTGTCCTCCATGCCACCAAAGCACTGCTCATGGTTTGGGGTTATGGGAGTTCCAACGGATGGAGGGTCACTGGTTCCTCACCCACATAATAAACATAGTTGTTGTTTGTATGCTATAAGCATTTATGGCACTTGAAAACTACCGAAGGATCTTAAAATATAGTATTTGGGCCTTTGGAGTTCTTTCCCCTTTAATTGACTTATGAGTGCCTCCTGAAAACTTTCCTTTCAGCAGACCTTTTAAGCTGAGATCTTCCCCAGTCTGCATCTGTACTAGAATTGTTCTTAAAGATGTTTTTCTCACTTGTGTTCAGCCCTGAACTACTTTGGAAGGGTGGGGTATGAAATGAATAAATCCACCAATAATAAAACGCTGTGCTTCAAGGAAAGGGGGGGGTTTGAGGAAGGGGGTTAAGGGGGCAGTGCTACTTTTTTTAAGTCTGGTAGGCATGGACCCCCTCAGCCAGGTTTTCCTAACCAAATCGCTAGCTACTTAACATGAATATGTACACAGGTACTTAGTTAGCAGTTTGGGAGTTAAACGTGTTGTGGGGATTGAGAGGTTTGTTCTTCATTCTGAAGTTCTTGGTTTATGGGCATTCCCTGCAGCTCGCAAAGGATCTCTTGCATCCCTCCCCTGAGGAGGAGAAGAGGAAACATAAGAAGAAGCGCCTGGTCCAGAGTCCCAACTCTTACTTCATGGATGTGAAATGTCCAGGTAGGGAGGAGTAGTGTGTTAAAACGAGGCTGGTCGTGTTTTTACGCCCTGCAACTTGTATATACAGTGGTACCTCTGTTTTTGAACGTAATCCATTCCGGAAGTCCATTTGAGTTCCGAAGTGTTCGAAAACTGAAAGCGGAAGCCTCAAAACGGAAATCTCACAACTGAAGGTGCGTTTCCTGTTTGACTTCTGAGGTGCGTTTCCAGGTTCTTGGCGTTTTGAGTTCCAAAACATTCAACTACGGAGGCGTTTGAAAACCGAGGTACCGCTGTACTTGCTTTGGGCAAGGGGCTAGATCACGTATGCTGTCAGTCACATAGTTCTACATTTTTTCTCACACTCCGTTGTAGTTCGCTGCTTTGCATTGCTGGGAGTTCATATGGGGAGGGGGGGGAACCTTTGCCATTTGCTCAGGCATGTGAACTGGCAGAAGGTGTCTGTGTAGGAAATGAGGCCTCTTGTCTTGGGGTTACAAAAGAAGAAATGTCAGAGCACTAATAGTTACCTCGGAAATCGTTGCTCCTATGGTAGAATACCTGGCCTTGGAAAGGCTATACCCACATGTGTGATTCGGCAGGCAAGTAAAGAAAGTCATGGCCTTCATGCTGGTGGCACTGAGATGGGGCTTTCCCCTTTCCATCTTCAGGAAGATCTGCCTTACATCGAGTCAGATTATTGGTCCATCTAGCTTCGTGTTGTCAACACTGACTGGCAGCAGCTCTCCAGGGTTGCAGGCAGGGGACATTCCCAGCCTTTTCTGGAGATGCCAGGAATTGAACCTGGTACATGCTGCACATGAAGCAGATGCTCTGTCCAGTGAGCTACGGCCTTCCCAAATAGTTGGTAAAGACCTTACTTAAGCTAAGGTGTTTTGGTTATGTACAAATAGAAAAATTGGGATATGGAGCAAACAAATCACAGGTTTACCTGCATCTTGCAGTTTTAGCCCACATAAAGGATTTGAGGCAATACAGGTGATTGAAAGGAGATGGGGTGGTGTAGGTTTGTCTCCAAGGTTGAAACAGTATTCTAGCATTTATCACATTTAGCACTTTTTCTGGTTAGAGTTCCCAAATTTCTAGGCATTAAAACATTTTGGAGAGGCTCCCTCTTCCATTTCTTTGAAGTGGATCCAAGGTGATGTTTTTTCTTTCCCCTTTCTCAGGTTGCTACAAAATCACCACTGTGTTCAGTCACGCTCAAACAGTGGTTCTGTGTGTCGGCTGTTCAACTGTGCTGTGCCAGCCCACTGGGGGAAAGGCAAGGTTGACAGAAGGTAAGCAGGGAGCTTAATTGGCTGTTTTTAAAGACCTGCTCTTAGAGCAAATCACTTCTGCCTTATCTCCTCTGTTCCTTTGCCATTTTCTATTGCGGCATTTAAGCAGTGTGTGTTTAATTGCACCCCTTCCCTGTTATTATGTAACCTTTCCCCCCTCTCTTCTGTAGAAGTGGATGGTTAAAGCTGCTTAGAGCAAGTGGAATCTGGAAATGGGTGGTTGGTTTTTTAACCTGCCCTAAGGCACTCTGCCGGTTTTCTTTTGCTTTTAAAATTCACAAGTTGGGTAACTATTATGTCAGGCTTTGTAACAAAACACACTGGGGTTCGGATAACAAAAGGGAAGGTCTGGCGCTATCACTTTTTGCAGCAACCACTTTGGGTGTGGGGACATGCCTCCAGTAATTAAGATTTTGGGTATTATGGATAGAGTCTTAGGGGAGTGAAGGGTGGCTCTGTTTTTTGCTTTTAATCATGTGACATAATTGGAGTAGTCTTCTGTAAGACTTTCTTTAAACGAGCCATCATGAATTTTAAACTCTCCTGGATGGTGTGCTCAGGAGGTTGAGAAGTCACGTGTAATAAGAGCCGCTGTGTTTTCTTTTCTTTTTGTTCACTGTGTGGCCTTCCACCCCCACCCTGTTTGCAGGATGCTCCTTCAGGCGAAAGCAGCACTAAATTAAGAAGATGTTTGTCCAGGATGGGTGGGGCTATGTGCACAGTCGTCGGCTCCGGTGCGGAGGATCTCAAGAGCATGGACGGTGGGAGTCCCGACACAAGTGAGATGTGAGCTGCAACTGTGTGGCTCTTGAGGATTTCAGCTGTTGCTGCCGCCTCTGGAATAAGGAGAGCAAAAGATGGCTTTCGTACTGTCCTTGTAGCCTCACCCATCTGACTCAATAAATTTTGGATATAAAGACAGAATTGTGTTTTCTCTAGTGTGTGCGTGTGTTGGGGGCTGGAAGTTGGTTGCTGAGTCCAAATGAGCTCAGCCAGTGTGGCTGCCTGAGATTCTCTGGATCTAGCTACAGGGTTAAAATAGATCAGATTCTACAGATTAATAGCTTTACCTTGTTGTAAAATGTGGAAATGGGCAGCACATAGCAGATGTGCAACAAAGCAGCTTCTGTGCATTCCACTGCCTGAAAGGGGCTTCTGTCCCAAGTAAAAAGGCCAAAGGGTCTTTAGAACAGATTGCCATGTTCTTTTCCAAGTTCTCCCAACCATGCCTGCCCTTCCTATTTAATGAAGACAGCTGCCACAAGTTTCCACCAGTTTACTTTTTAACACATGGCTTATATGTGCCTCGTGTCCAGCGATGGTCATCTTCGAACGCTCCAAAGCCAGGCCTGAGTCCTGTTCCTGACACTGGAATAGTGATTTTGCATGCTGGGTGGAGAGGAGAGGTACCCTGGAAATAAAATGGGGTGGGTGGGAAGAGAAAGAGCTGTTTGAAGCTACCTATAGATATGCTCAGAAATGGTTTGCCAGTTGGAAGACTACCCAGCTGCTCTGTGTGTGGCTGTTTGAATACCAAGCTGTGAAATGCCATGTTGACTGCTGCAAGAGAACCCTCTGGGTAGTTGCGCAGCAGGACCAAGAAACCCAAAGATGACAAATCGGAGGTCTGATAAACCAGGCAATGCAAGGGCGGGCTCTGGAAATGTTTCGTCCAGAGTCCACATTCTGGTGACCTAACCACCCAAAGATACTTCCAAAGGTCACCCCACCACACCCTAAACATACTTTAGAATAAACAACATTTGATAGGAATGCAGGAAGTATTGGGGGGAACTTCTTTTCAACTCACCTGTCTGTACCATGCCTGATGTGGGAACGTACACTACAGGGACTGCCTGTACTCTGTTCAGAAAGGCATTGTAGGCTGTGGGGGTCGAAGCATCACGTCAAGGTTAGTTCCACCTGTGCAAGGCACTCTGAGGGTCATCCAGCCCAACCCATGCAGGAATCTCAACTAAAGTATCTGTGACCAACGGCCATCCAGCCTCTGCTTAAAAACCTCCAAGGAAGAGAGCCCACAACCACCTTAGCATGTCTTTGCTTCCCCCTGTGCGTGTATCTATGCAATCCTTCCCATCAAGCTGTGAGGCAGGCCAGTATTCCTGCAAGGGCGGGGGGGGGGGGGGAGAAGAGCTGGGGCTGGAGGGCACAGCATGTGGGCTTGCCGGTTTCCCACTTGCTCTTTCAGAAAGGCCTGGGTTCCTCCAGGGTATATTGTGCCTGCCTTTGCAAATCCACTTACTGAGAAAGATGACCATGGTGGATGCTAAAACAGCGGAGATGGTGAAGAGGAGGACCTGGTAGGAGCCCACAAGCTGCTTGACAAGGCCTGCTTCAGCACACTGATCTAGGAGGAGAGACAAGACCTGTCTGCTCTGGGCTGGTGCAGGATATTATCCCCTGTGACCGTCCAGATGGAAGCACAGGCCTCCATTCATGGTTTGACTGCTCTGGTCCTTACCAAACAGATGCCTGTCTGGCAGTGCCCGCATTAACACAGCGGCCTTCTGGCCTGTAAGAGTGCAGGAGAGGTTGACGAAGACGGGTGCTGCCATCTGCTGGAGGGATGTGAGGTTGACCACGCTGACTGGGAAGACGACAAGCCCGGGCATGTCCACCAGATGGAAGGGGCGTCCCACTTGGATCACTGGGGAGCTGGGCTGGGCCTTGGCAGGAAGGACGGAGGGAAAGTTGAGTCGTTAGGAAAACAACAGAGCTGCAATCCAAAGGGGTCTGTTGCTCTGTCGCAGCAACAACAGTGGCTTGTAGCACCTTAAAAGACAGACCAGGATCTATGCAGGATTAGCTTTTGTGGGCTAGATCTGCCTTAAGCAGCCACAAGGACCCTTATTCTCACTTGGCAAGGTGTCTCTCCATATTTTACATTCTCCCTCAGAGGAGGACGTTATTATAATACTGCTTTGAAAAAAAATCAAAGCTGGGATGGATCTGCTTGTCTCTAAGGTGCCCTGAGACTTAAGTCTTTTATTGCAAGCTCTGCACAATTTCCACCACTGAGCAACAGGTTTGTTTCCTTAATAGTCGAGGAATGACCAGCCTCCTGTTGTTTCAAATAAGGTGTACATGCTCCCAAACCAATGGCTTGTCTACAATGTCAGAGTTAAGAGCCATAGAAACTGATCAGTGTGACTAACTTAAGCCCATTCATTTAAATATGCTTGCTCTGAGTAGAACTTAGCTGGATACCAGCCCATATATCACTGCCAGAGGTTGAATCCACCTTCCCAATTTCTATCCTGCCACTTCCTCCCCAAGGAGCTCATGGTGGCAAACAGAATTAAATATAAAACACCCTTTAAACAGAATTAAGAACATCTAGAAATGTTTTGATAGGGTCACGTAAACTCCCAACTATTGATTTCAAGGTTGCTGGGAACAGTATATTTCAGCTACCAGATGCCTAGGTAATCAGGAGTGTTTTTAACTTCCTCCTGAACATTAAAAAGTGAGGTAGATTGACATGCCTCACAAGGGAGGGCATTCTGCAATGGGGGAGCCACCAGTAAGAAGGCCCTGCAATGGGTCAGGGCTAACTGGGCAGTTTCCTGCTGGCTTGTAGGGCCTGAGATGATTGAAATGATGCATGCAACTCCTTGCTCTTCATAACCATACACGTAGACCAGGCATGGGGAACCTTATCCCGAAATGGAGCCCGTATTCAAAGGCTGGTTGTAATGTGGACCAATGCTATAAGCATCCCTTATACACCCAGCAGATGGCTGCAGTCTATGGGAGAGCCTCTCCTGCACGTCCCAGAGATCTCAGAAGCCAGTGCTGCCGTCATCTGGAGCAGGGCTTTTATGTGGCTGCCGCATCCTGAGCCGCTGACTTGCCTCTGTTTCTTCAGTCACTCGCCTCGCCCCCAGCACCACGATTTCCCTGCTCAGCTCTGTGCTGCTGAAGACCACTTCGGACTGGTTCATGTAAAAGGCAGGCAGAAAGGGCACCGAGAGCCTCTGTGTCCCCTCTGGGCTCTGATCGCTGAGGAGGGAGGCCGTCACGTGCACCGAGCCCCCAGCGGTGCTCAGCGCCAGCAGGTCGGCTTCCGGCTGGTCTTTCACGGTGATGATGCAGGCGTAGAGACCTTGAGTTTGGGAAGAGGGAAACCAGATTGGGAGCTGCCCTGTATTGACTCAGGGTGCTGGTCCACCTTGCTCAACACCAGGCATGGGGAACCTTGGTCTGAACTACGATTCCCATCAGCCCCTGCAAGATTGGCTCAGTGGCCAGGGGTGATGGGAGTTGTAGTTCAGCAACATTTGGAGCACTACAGGTGTGTCCCCCGCCCCCCCCCAGTCTACACTGAATAGCCGCAGTTCTCCAAGGTTTCAGATGGGGAACACTCACAGCCCTTCTTGGAGAAGCCGGGGATTGAATTTGGGACTTTCTGCAGATGTTCTACTCCTGGGCTGTGGCCCTTCCTTCTAAGGTTCCAGTCCTCAATGTTCTAAATACAGGGCTGATTGAAGTAGGAATTTAGGAAGCCATCATACTGAGGATACGGGTGGCACTGTGGGTTAAACCACAGAGCCTAGGACTTGCCGATCAGAAGGTTGGATGTTCGAATCCCCGTGACGAGGTGAGCTCCCGTTGCTCGGTCCCTGCTCCTGCCCACCTAGCAGTTTGAAAGCACATCCAAGTGCAAGTAGATAAATAGGTACCACTCTGGCGGGAAGGTAAACGGAGTTTCCGTGCGCTGCTCTGGTTCGCCAGAAGCGGCTTAGTCATGCTGGCCAAATGACCCGGAAGCTGTACGCCGGCTCCCTCAGTCAATAAAGCGAGATGAGCACCGCAACCCCAGAGTCGGCCACGACTGGCCCTTTACCTTTTTATACTGGACCTAATGTTAAGGGGTCCCTTTACCTTTTACATACTGAGTCAGGCTATTTCAGACAGGGGTTCTTTCCCAGCCCTACCTAGAGGTGCCATTAAGGATTGAATCTGTGACCTTCTACATGCCAAGCAGATGCAGAGCACTGAGCTATAGCATGCCTGAGAATATTTTTAACTTATGATACATTCCTATGGGCAAAACAGAGTTAGAGGCGATGGCAGTGAGGTAGGATTGGGAAGTCCCTGGTGCATATCTGGGGCATAAATTCTCACTACAGGGCCCTGGGTATGGTATTTTTCGCTCTATAAGACGCACCTGACCATAAGACACACCTAGTTTTTAGAGGAGGAAAACAAGAAAAGCCAGCAAGAGCCGCAGACACGCTCGCTCGGCGCGGCTCTTTAAAGATAGAGCGGTTCTTGCTGGCTTTTCTGGGAGGTGGGAGAAGGGACCGATGGGCTGCCCTCTGTCCCTTCTCCCACCTCCCTGAAAAGCCAGAGCAAGCTGCGTGGCCAGCAGAGCAAGAGCAATAGCTGCACAGCGGCTTTTGCTCTGCTGGCTTCCCAGCAAAGCAGGATGAGGGACGGAAGGGGCTCCGTAAGGGCTCCCTTCTGTCCCTCATCCTGCTTCACTGGGAAAGCAGCGCAACGAGAGGCGCTGTGCAGCTCTCCCTCTTGCTGTTCTGGCTTCTGGGATAGCTGCGCTGCCTGCATTCGCTCCATAAAACGCACACACATTTCCCCTTACTTTTTAGGAGGGAAAAAGTGCGTCTTATGGAGCGAAAAATACGGTAAGTAACTCTGAGTCTCCCATGACTTCTGAAATATGGGGGGGAATAATACTGATTGACTTTACAGTGGGGTGGGGAATCTTTGGTCCACCAGATGCTGCAGGACTCCAGCTGCCATCACTATAACCCCTGATCACTGGTCATGCCTGCTGGGGATGATGGGAACATCTCTAGGGCTGCAGCTTCCTCACCTTGCTGTTAGAGCTTATGGGACAGGGGTGGATGTGTGCAAGGCTGTTAAAGCTGAAAAGGGTTTAAATGGCGAGATAAAAACATTGGCTGGGTTACTGTCAGAGGAGATGCCGCTACCTTTATCAGTGTAGAACGCAGACCGGGCATGAAAGATCCTCTGTGCTGGGATGTCTGGGAAAATCATGCTGAACTCCACCTGACAGGTCAGGTGAGATTCTGGGGAAAGCAGGTCTGTGATGGCACGAAGCTGGACAGAACTGCAAGGACCTGAAGGGATAAAAGGAGACAAGGGTGTGATGATGGAATAAAGCAGCGGTTCTCAACCTGTGGATCCCCAGATGTTGTTAGACTACAACTCCCACCATCTCTGAGCTCTGGCCTTGCTAGCTAGGGATGATGGGCGTTGCAGTTCAGCAACATCTGGGGATGCACAGGTTGAGAAAGGCTGGAATAAAGGGACATGATGCTTTGCGGATTGTCCTCAGGCTGCTGCTGGTGGTCAGGAAACAGAAGCTAGAACCATGCACAATTTGGCATGAAACCAGACATGGGGAGGATGAGCCCAATGGAAGGAAGCAAAAACCTAAAAATTGGAAAGGGGAGATCTGCTCTTTCTTTTATTGCCTAAGCAGTACTGGAAAAGGAGGACAAGCCATGCCTTTGCTACGTTTCTGAAGCGGGAGGGGGATCCCCAAGAGAGGAAGAGGTGTACAAAATTGTAACTAGCTAGAAAAGCTTTTCTCCCTCATGATACTAGAACTCAGGGGCCGTCCAATGAAGCTGAATGCTGGAAGATCAGGAAAGACAAAAGCAAGATCCTTTCCACACAGCGCGCAGTTAAAACTATGGGAGTTGCTTCCACAAGGAGAAACGGCTGGACGGCTTCAACACAGGATGAGACAACGCCATGGAGGTTAATGGTACCAACCGCTGCTAGCCGCGATGGTCGTGTTCCCCCTCCACTGTGGGAGGAATTTGCTTATCCTGTAACAGGACATTTCTCTGGGCACCCAGCAAACCACCTTAAAGAGGGAAGAAACCTGCACTTTCAAAAAGCGAGAATGAGTGGTGGCTGAGGGGACACGCGGCTTCTCCTCGCAACGTCACCTCTAATCCAGCCAGGGTGGACAGATTTATTTTTCTACTTAGACTGGGCATTTGCCCTTCCCAACGTGCGCCCCATTAACAGTGGGTGGGGGCGAAGCGGCTGCGCTTTCCACCCTACCTCGGAGGGTTGTTTTAGTGCCGCTTGTGCTGATGAAAACCCGGAACTCGGAGGAGTTTGGAGTGTTGGTCAGGTACTGTTTGGGACCGAGGTGAAGGCTGAGTCTGGAGGAGCCCCCGATGACAACCTGGAAAGAGGAAAATGGTGACTGCAGGAGGGTTTCAGAAGAGGCAGTTTGCTAGCAGGAATTCACTGCCCAAGCAAGATTGGGCCTAACTCTGCCTAACTTTGATTTTTAAAACGCAGCAGTTGGGCAGTGCTTGTTGTCAATCAACTCGAGTGGCAAGTCAATGGTTTCTCAGTTTTTAAGTCCATGCGCCGAGAAGGTCTTTTATTCCCTGAAATGACTCCGTTCCCTCTTCCCACGCTTACTCCCCTGGCTAGAAATTACTTCCATGATGCCTGCGTGCTGGTACTGCCTTGTTTTTCTGGTCCTTAAGGTAAACCCCTGACCATTAGGTCCAGTCGTGGCCGACTCTGGGGTTGGGGCGCTCATCTCGCTTTATTGACCGAGGGAGCCGGCATACAGCTTCCGGGTCATGTGGCCAGCATGACTAAGCCGCTTCTGGTGAACCAGAGCAGCGCATGGAAACGCTGTTTACCTTCCTGCTGGAGCGGTACCTCTTTATCTACTTGCACTTTGATATGCTTTCGAACAGCTAGGTTGGCAGGAGCAGGGACCGAGCAACGGGAGCTCACCCCGGTGTGGGGATTCGAACCGCCGACCTTCTGATCAGCAAGTCCTAGGCTCTGTGGTTTAACCCACAGCGCCATCCACGTCCTTACCTCTCGGTAAGTTTTCACTATCCCTGGGATATCGTGGAAGACAGTGGCTTTCCCAGCGTGCTTTGCGAAGGCTGCTCCGCTCAGCGTGTCCATTTCAAGGAGGTCGCTTGGAGTGATTTGCCATGTCCCGGGTTCCCCTAAAGAAAGGGAAAAAGGCTGTTGCATGTGTGTTAAAGGATTCCATGAGAAGAATAAGGAATGTTGGCTCAGTTGGCCAGGGCTCCAAGATAATGCTTTATTTTTATTTTTTAAAAATAATTTTATATTAATTTTTGAACATATTAATTATCATAGATACCACAAAACTTCACATCTTATACAATCTTTTTGGACTTCCACCAGCACCTCTGATGATCCACCATTTTTATCACTTCTTCTGCATTTCTTAAATTCATATTGCCTTTAATTATCTTAACTAACAATCCTCCTCTTTATCCAGTTTTGCAATAATTCAAATTATTCACCTCACAAAACTTCTTGCAAACCTACAAACCTGCTTTATTTTTTTATTCATCCATCCCAGAAAGAAATTAAAACACGAGGCAGAATATGAAGCAGCGAGCGGAGGCAGTGGAAGATGGACACGAGAAAGGTCAAATTAAATAACCTTTACTCTCTCTCAAGGAAAACACTTCTTTGTATGCCTGGGGCATACAAACTAAAAGCCATGACACCAAAGGAAAAAGGGACTGGGAGGGAAGAGGAAAAGAAACTTGGACACTGTTTCTTAGGGAGCAGTTCTGTGCTGGGCACTGTGTTTACTTTACTCTGGGATAGTCAAGTCTTCATTTTGTTTCAAAAGCAAATGGTGTTAATGGCCTGGAGTTGGAAGGGACCACAAGCGTCTAGTCCAAACCCTGAAATGCAGGAATCTTTCTCTCAACGTGGGGCTTGAACCCGTGGCCCTGAGATTAAGAGTCTCATGCTCTACCGACTAAAATGCAAGTAGCAGTCCTCTAACACAGTGTTTTTCAACCACTGTTCCGTGGCACACTAGTGTGCCGCGAGATGTTGCCTGGTGTGCCATGGGAAAAATTGAAAAATTCGAAAGATTTTTTTAAAAAGTCACATTTTCGCCCACTAGGCGGGCGCTGGACTGTGTCCACCCTATTTTCCATCCGTCCTGGGTGGGGATCAGATCGGATGGGATCGGATGAGAGCGGACAGGCGGTCCGCTCTCATCTGATTCCCCATAGAGAGCAGCGGGGCTCTGACATCTCCCTCTCCGCACACAGTGGTGGTGTGCCTCGTCATTTTTTTCATGAAACAAGTGTGCCTTTGCCCAATAAAGGTTGAAAAACACTGCTCTAACATTTTACACAGTGGATAAAAGCGAAGACAGCTGCCATCAAATGAGCTGCAACAGCTTTAATTTCCCAAGCCATGGGATGTAAAAAATGTGTTCTATTATAGGAAAGATGGATGAAACCACCATGCGTTAATTTATAGGGCAATGTTTCTCACCACCGCCAAACACAGTGCTAAAAGGAAGATGCAAACTGACAAGTTACTCTGTGCCGGAAGCTAGGATCCCTTGATCACTTGCTTCTGACAAGGAGCCCTGATAGACCAGTCCCGGGCATCACAATTATTCTCTTGGCGTCCTCATGTCGGATCCCCTCACACATGGCTTTTCGTGGTTGAAGCCACCACTGGAAGGACTGTCTTGACACTGTGTTAAGTGCTGCGTTGACTGAGATGGGTGCAGGCAGATTTCTCCTTCTTCAGATTGCGGACAAACCCACGGGACTGAAGGGTGCTTTATATTTAAGCCGTTTTACGCACAAAGTCGCAAAGAATGCAGCTTGTGTTTCTTCACTGAGAGCAACCCCTTCCGAAGTTCACACGGGGCTGTTTTGAGGGTCACCGAGGAGAGAGAGAGAGAGAGAGAGTCCAGGCTGGGGGTGTGTTTTTATAGGAGGGGCACAAGGGATGCTTGGCATTCCAGCAGATGCTCTCTGGGTTACTCTTTTGTCCTGAAAACGTGACCGAGGCTTAATTTGCGGTGCTTTGCTGAAGGCACGGCGGCCATAAAACAGCAGCTGATGAACCAGAGGCTGCCTCCATTATGCATCAAGGCCTTTTAAGAGCAGCAGTAAGAAAAGGAACTCCCCCCGCCCCCAGCCTGGCTGCCCTGGCCCCATTGTGAAGCATAGATGGGAAAGCAGTAAAGGACTGTGGTGGGAATCAGCAATGGGGGACCAGGACTGGGGGTGATGAGATGAGGCTTCTTTTGAGACGCAGCCAAGGGGACCCCTGCTAGGTTCCAGGCAGGGATGGGCTAATCCATCCATTTCAGTTCCTCTTTATTTTTCCAGTCTTGAAGTTCAGTTCCCCACAATTGGGAAAAAAGTCCTCATGCAAATCCACTATCATTTTAGTGCTAATTTCTCCTACTGATACGCATTTTGTATGCAGTTTTGCTTAAGGTACTCGTTTCTTTTGCAAAGCAACTTTCCCTGAAACAATGCAATTTTTTTTAAAATTATTATTATTATTATTATTATTATTATTATTTATTTATACCCTGCCCACCTGGCTGGGTTTCCCCAGCCACTCTGGGTGGCTTCCAACCGAATATTAAAAACAACACAGCATCAGACATTAAAAACTTCCCTAAACAGGGCCACCTGCAGTTGTCTTTTAAAAGTAAAATAGTTGTTTATTGCTTTGACATCTGCTGGGAGGGCGTTCCACAGGGCAGGCGCCACTGCTGAGAAGGCCCTCTGCCTGGTTCCCTGTAACTTGGCTCCTCACAGTGAGGGAACCGCCAGAAGGCCCTCGGCGCTGGACCTCAGTGTCCAGGCAGGCAGAACGATGGGCGTGGAGACGCTCCTTTTGTTATTTTCACTAATATGCACATGCTTCATGCTACTATTTGCCTTTTTTGGACACTTCACCACACTGCAAGGTTTGGAAAAGCCAGATCCTGAAGGACGGCTGCTTTCTTTTTGGATCCCTGCGTTGTTTCAGAAAGGCTAGTGGACAAGCTGTAGTTTGTTAAGGCAGAGGTACAATCCCTGCACCCTGAAGAAACTACAGTGTCCCGGATTCTCCAGGACTGTTAAAGTGAGAGAAGAGTTCTATGGCTGTGATTACAATGAAGCCCCACACATGGGGATGGGGTCAGAAGCAGTTCCAGGTCAAAGGGCAGACCTTTCAGCTAAGCGGAGCTCTGGCAGTTGGGAGAAGGCTGGTCCATTTGACTGAGCCGCTTTTCATTCAGATGAATCTCAATGTGGCTTACAAACAATAAACAACTATAACCACCTAACACCACAGAGACTGCATGAATCCTGTAAAATAATTAACAAACCATCAATGAAACGATCTATAAAAACCTATGAAAAGCAACTAAAAATGAGCTAAAACTTCACCATTTTGGCAAAAGGCATATTATATGGTTAACAAATTAATCAAATTCCTGCTGAATTTTTCCAATGAATCCGGGGACACTTTTCAACTTCAATGGATTTTGTATGGGGACTGATGTGTAAATCCGGGGACTGTCCCCGGGAAACGGGGACGTCTGGTAACCTTAATCTAGTCCAGCATCCCGTTCACTTAGTGGCCAATCGGATGATCCAAAAGGAACCCCGCAAACAAGACCTGAACACAAGAGCAACAATCCCTTCCTGGGGTTTCCAGTAACTGCTAGTTAAAAGCATTACTGACCGTTGAGGCAGAAGGTATCCTTATCCTCCCTACATCATCTTCTGAGGCCCTTCTTCGTGTGCCTCCTCCGCAAGAGGTCAGGCAGGTGGCAACACAAGAACAGGGCCTTCTCTGCAGTGGCTCCCCGTCTGTGGAATGCTCTCCCCAGGGAAGTTCGCCTGGCGCCTTCATTGTACACCTTCAGGCGCCAGGCAAAAATGTTTCTTTTCAACCAGGTCTGACTTGATCTACATCCTATAACCTTTCTAAAAAATGCTGGCTGTTTGGGGTTTTTTTTTATTGGGTTGCTGGTTTTGTTTTGATTTTATGTATTTGATATTTTATGTGAACCGCCCTGAGACCTTCGGGTATAGGGCGGTATAGAAATTAAATATAGTGGACGCTCAGGTTGAAAATGTGATCCATGCGGGAGGCATGTTCGCAATCCGCAGCGCTGCGTCTGTGAACGTGTGGGTTGCGATTCGGCGCTTCTGCGCAAAGCGCAATTTAGCGCTTCTGCGCATGAGCAAGGGCTGAAACCCAGAAGTAACCCCTTCCGGTACTTCCTGCTTCGGCGCGGTGCGCAACCCGAAAATGCACAACCTGAAGCGTCTGTAACCCGAGGTACGGCTGTAAATAATAATAATACAGTGGTACCTCGGGTTACATATGCTTCAGGTTACATACGCTTCAGGTTACAGACTCCGCTAACTCAGAAATAGTGCTTCAGGTTAAGAACTTTGCTTCAGGATGAGAACAGAAATCGTGTTCCAGCGGCATGGCGGCAGCAGGAGGCCCCATTAGCTAAAGTGGTGCTTCAGGTTAAGAACAGTTTCAGGTTAAGAACAGACCTCTGGAACGAATTAAGTACGTAACCCGAGGTACCACTGTAAATATATTTGTGTAATCCTCTTTTGAAGCAACCCATGTTGGCGGCCATCGCTGCACCCTGCGGGGAGCACCTTCCTTTGTTCAGTCATGCGCCTGCGTGAAGAAGGGCTTTCTTTTTATCTGTCCTCAACTTCTCTTTAACTTCCAGGAGGCAGCCACGGTGGCTGGAGACCAGCTCACTGACCTTCTTGGTTGACGAGAGGCGTGCTGAAACACACCACGTCTCCCATGGCAAGCGGCTCGGAAAGGTTCGGCTCGATGGCGTGCTCCACCGGGACAGGGATATAATCCGCCATGCCCGGGTGCTTCTCGTCCCAAACGCCCACCAGGGTCACCCCCCTGTTCACAGCCTGGGCGACGTAGGTGTAATTCTTGTTGCTGGGTCGGATGAGCAGCAGGTCATCTCTGGGGGAACAAAGCAAAAAAATTGACCCCGTGAGGAGTGTGCCAAGCAGGGATACTGCAGGGTAGGGTCCCCCAAACATGGTCAGTGGTGCCTTCTGCTCTGTGGATCACCAAGAGATCAGCTAGGAATTTGATGGAGCCTGTGTGGGCTGGGACTTTGAATGAATACGCTAGAGTGGTACATTATTTTTTTTTAATGAGTATGTTCTAAAGCAGGGTGGGGTATAGATCAGGGCCTACTTGTGTATATCCAAGAGATATGAAGTATTCTGACAAGGATTTATCATTCCCAGTAGGAACAGGTGGGCTCAGTAGCGCAAAGGACTTTATCACACCTCCGGCTAGTTCACAAGCTGCAGGTGTTCCTGGGTCGTCTAGCCACAAGTTGTTCAGTTGGAACACTAAAATTTACTTTCTATAGGGCTGCCTACAGAGTACAGTTCCCTGGGAAGAGGGACTGACTTTTAAACCACTGTGGGAACTGGAGCTCTGCGGGGGCAAATAGGGGGAATCTCCTAACCCTTAGCTACAGTCCCCAGGATTCTTTGGGGGAAAGCCGTGGGTGTTTAAAGTTGCATCGTTGCACTTTAAATGTATGGTGTGAGCGTGGTCATTATTGCGGCAAGAATTTACTTCTACACCGCTTGTTCGTTTACCCAGGTGAGGGAACGTGTTTGAAATAAAACACGGAACCAAGAGAAATAACAAGCCCAAGAGATCCAGTAAGAACGCGGTTTATTAAATGACCGCACAGCAGGACGGCTCAACTTAAAAAAAGTGGTTGTATCCTGTACTTAAAAGTCGCCTCAGTTGGGCCACATTCGTGCCATACATTTAAAGCACTATGGTGCCACTTTAAACAGTCATGGCTTCTCCCAAAGGATTTTGAGACATCTGAAGGCAGCCCTGTTTAGGGAAGCTTTTAATGTTAGATGCATTACGGTATTTTAATATTTTGTTGGAAGCTGCCCAGAGTGGCTGGGGAAGCCCAGCCAGATGGGCGGGGTATGAATAATAAATTGTTTAAAATTATTATTATTATTATTATTATTTGGGAACTGTAGGGCACTGATGCTGCTAGGAGACCCCTATTCCCCTCACAGAGCTACAGTTCGCAAAGTTCCCTGATCAGAGGGACCGACTGTTAAACCACTCTGGGAGGGGAATGTGTGCGTGTTTGCAGGGTCTCCTAACATCTCTCAGCATCCTAAACAAACTACATCTCCCAGGATTCTTTGGGGGAAGTCATGACTGTTTCCTTTAAATGTACCGAGCAGATGAAGCCCTGGTCATATAGGGTGGATATGACTTAAGATGTCATCTCGACATTTATCCAGACCATTGTGATGACTGCGCCTGCGTACTTTGTTGCATGAACACTCCCTGGACCACAGAAGTGGCCAATGTTCAAGTTCCCAAAAGGACTTTCCACAAGATGGAGAGTGGCAATTTCCTAAGCAAGCCATGCTCACGATGTGGCACGCGGCCCTTTCCCAAGCGTGCCTTCCTGAGCCGCACCTGTTCAAGGCCAGGTGAAGCTGGGTGCTCTGGGCGTGGAACTTCTCCCCGGTACTGTCGTAGAACTCAACGGCGAGGGTGAGGGACATGCCCAGGGGAAACGCACGCAGGGGCACCCGGCTGGCCGTGTAGAGCTTGGGGGCACTGCTCAAGCGCAGGTAGGACACCGGGGCCACCTGGGAGGGGAGGAAGGAAAGGATGTATCGGTTTTTTCCTTTTCAGTCACCACACCTGGAGACTTCAAACTGATTCATCTCAAATACACTTGTAAGGAAAGCAAATGCCAGGTGTAGCCAAACCGATAGATGTGGACATAAAAATATACATAAGAACTGCTCATAAAAACAGAAGTTTGACCAATACAATGAAAAAACAGAATCTTAGATCTCAAGGGAGGCCAGAATGCCTTGTCTAAGCTGAGCAGCCTTCACTGCGAATTTAGCTACATTAAGCACTGCAGACCGATCCGAACCAGAGAAAAGATCTTCTCCATATCACTGAGGATTGAACTGGAGACAAACAGCACTCTTTACTATTCCATCTGTTGTCCTACCTACCAACATCTGGAGGTTGCAAGCTCCCTGTCCCAGATGTAAGCAGTCCTCTTTAAGCAAGCTGGCAGATGCTCCAGCGCTTTAGTGCGACATTCTGAACTTTTCGCAAGACGTGTACCTTGTCTTGCCATCTGCTTCACTCACTGGCAACTTTATAATATAAGATGAGCGCCTGCCGGATTGGGCCAAGGGCCCATCTATAGTCCAGCCCTTAAAGGAGAACCCAAACAACACGAGCAACTCTCTCTTCCTGCATTTTTCAACAACTGTCATTCAGAAATTTCACCTCCAAATGTGGAGGTAGAGCATAGCATAGCCATTGTGGTTGGCAGTCCACAACTTAGCAACCGTCCTTATCCAGCACTGCATTCTCCCCTTCAGTCTTTCAGCCCCTGCCCATGGCGTTCAGGGACCTCCTACCTTGGAGCATTTGTGGAATCCACAGCAGCCACTACTACTTCTTCCCAGAGCCTCCCTTACCCGCACTCCCGTGATGACAGTCTGGTTGACACCGAAGAGCTCCAGGGCTGTCACCTCCAGCACCGCAGTGCCTGTGACAGCTCCTGCCTTGAGGAGGCCATGCCTGTTCTCCTCAATGACAGAGGAGTTGGGGAAGCACTGCAGGATCTGAGCGTTCACAAAGGCCGCCCCGTCCCTAAGAGAGAAAAGAAGAGTCACATCCCTTCTGTTTGGGCTGGCAGGTGGAGGGGGTTGGACCAATTATGTTTTATAGCTCAAGGTGGGCGCACAGGCTAGAAGGCAACTGCCACAAAGGGTGGAGGGGCTGCCAAATTTAGGGTGGACTATGCAATTTTGGCAGGCATCCCATTAGCTGCACTTTCCAGAAGCAACTGGGAGACATTTTGTTCTGACAAGCTTTGCCAACTGGATTGGCATGGGGTATCTATTTTGTACTACTTTTAAATCTATCTGCTGCTGTCCAGTTTTTCGGCTGTGCTTATTGTGTTTTGCACACCACCTTCAGATATACATGTGGAAGGCAATCAACCAACCAACCAACCAACCAACCAACCAACCATCAATCGAAATCACCTTACTCAATCCTAGCTGGAAGTTGGGATTATTTACCCAGCAGAGAGAGAGAGAGAGACAGTGTATGCCAGGATCACTGAGAGGGGTGGATAACATCATGCTGGGGCTATATCTGGCCTGCAGGTGGAGGAGGGAGGTGTCCCACACCCCCTGCCTTAAGGCAAGCAAAAAAATGGAGTATCGACTGACCGACCCCCCCATACTGGAGACATTTTGAAAGCAGAAGATTTAGGGAAGCTTTTAATGTTTGATGCTTTACTGTATTTTAATATTTTGTTGGAAGCTGCCCAGAGTGGCTGGGGAAGCCCAGCCAGATGGGCGGGGTATAAATTATTATTATTATTATTATTATTAGCTGCAAATTAGCATCTCTGTAGTGCTTCTACTTCTTCAAGTTAATAGTGGAGTCTTTGTCTTTGCTCCCCATCATCATCGCTACCTCCACCCACCTCCACTTCCCCCCTTTCCCTGCCCTACCTGTTTGTGAGTAACTTGAGCTGCGAGTTCATGGACATCAGAATTTGCTCTGCGGAGCACTCCGGGGAGAAGAGCTGCAGTTTATCAAAGACCTGTAAGGGACAGAGCAAGGATCCTGCAGGCAGAAGGAAGGGCTGGGACGCGCCCCGGCTTTTAACGTTAACGGCTGGCATGGCCAGACGCAGCAGAGGACTGGCAGCAGTGAAAGAGGATGAGGCTGCCTGAAGGGGGCGCTTACTAGTATCTGCACTTCATCCGAGAGCTCAGAGAGGTGTCCTTCAAACTGCCCAGCATCCGGGTCTGAAGCCTGAACCGTGACTTGGATGCTCGTCCGCCCAGCGGCCTTTGTGTGCAGGACCATGGCAAAGTTACTTTCCGGAATAAGCTGCAGGGAAACCTGGGAGAGAAGGGAAGGAGCTGCAGGCTTCCTGGAGAGAAGGGATGGGTGGATCCAGCAGTGCCCACTGTCTATTGAGAATGGTGGGGTGGAAGGCAAGGAGCTGACCAGTAGGTGGCGCTGGAGGCAATGAGAGGCAACACCAACTCATTCTAGTTTTGTCCTCCGCCCTCCTCTCTGTTGAATTCTACAAGGGCAACAGTGAGACTAAGGAGGAGGAGGAGGAAGCTGCCAGGGAGAGCACCCGCCCCCTGTATTCGCTGTAGGTATGAAATCAAGTGGGGACTGGCTGAGGTTCAGTAGGACCAATGTTGGATGCAACCCACAGTGGCTGAGAGTTGATGTGTGCCCCGAGGGACAGATCCATACCTCCGAATGTCTAGGAAGGAGGTCCAGGACATCCCGCTTGCTCATGGCCCAGTGGAACGTCAGCGCTGGGTCGGCATTCCCAAAGGAGAATGGAGTCAAAGTGCTGGTCAGGCCAACAACATAAACAGGCATCTACAAAGGAAAGCGTCACTCGTTACTTCCCAGCTTTTGGTCCTCTCAGGCAAGAGACATGTCCTACCATGGAGACCAACACATGTACGCTGCCTCAAGGGAGGCCTGGTCCCTTATATCCCTGCCCAATCACAGAGCTCTTTGGGCGGAGTCACTGTTATGGTCAGATGCACAAGCTCATATCCACCAGCAGCCTTGCATCCAGTATTGTGGAACCCAATTCTCTGGAATTCCCTCTCAGCTGAGAGGCAACTCAGACAGGCCTCCTCCTCTGTTGAGCTTCCAGCACCCACCAAAATCTTTTTTTTTTCTTTTTAACAACCAGCAGGCATTTTAATGAAACTTCTTTTTTTTAAAAGTTATTGTGTTGTTGTTTTACCTGTACGACACCTAAAGATGGTTGCAATTAAGTGGCAGGTAGTTGAAATAAATGAAATAAACATTAGAAAGATTGTCCTAACACACAAGAGACGTATGACGTGAAACAGGATAACTCTGGAAGCAGTGAGCTCTCGTTCCAGGAGATCAGCCTTTCCGCTCCCCCTTGTTTAACTTAATTCCAGCAAGCTTTTTAACTGGATTTTGATTTTACAGTTTAAACTCTTTTTAAAAAATGTATTGGGTACACTGCTTAGAGACTACAATTTGCAATATGCAAATTGTTGAAGTGAAACAAAACAAATTGGGGTGGGATCCTTAACATGGGCTCAGTTCAGGAGGGAGAAGTCAGCCCCGGCTGTCTCTCGGTTGCATGAAATGCGAGTCCTACGCCGGGGAGGGCCACTGACATTAAGAGAAGTGATTCTGAGTCGAACTTAGTTGGCTACAACCTTATATATCCACAGAGAAGATGTCCATTGGTGATTATAGGGCAGGCCTACCTTGGTCCCCGTAATGAGCCTGGTGGCAGGAGCGTGGATTCTTATCGCTTTCAGCTGAACAACTTCCAGGTCTACTTGGTCCTGTGGGGGAAACGCAGAAGAGAGACCAGAAGAAAAGGCACAGTTTGCCCAAGATTACCCAGCTTGGGGGGGGGAGGCCTCCTCTGCAGCAGGCTGCCAAGTGGACTGGCAGCCGCTGGGGGGGCCATGTCTGCCCCACACCTGGGACCTGTGAAGTTCCAGGAGCAACAAACAAAAAACGCTATGGAGCGTCTGTCCAAATCAGATGCTGCTTCAGTCTGACGGCAACCTTCTGGGGACCTTGTGGCAGGATGGAGCAACCAATAGGAAGGGGGGTGTATGTGTGTGTAGAACTAGCCTACTGTACAAAAAGATGTACAGTGGTACCTCGGGTTACAGACACTTTGGGTTACAAACTCCGCTAACCCGGAAGTAGTACCTCGGGTTGAGAACTTTGCCCCAGGATGAGAACGGTAATCACATGCCGGTGGAGCAGCAGCAGCGGGAGGCCCCATTAGTGAAAGCGTGCCTCAGGTTAAAAACGGTTTCGGGTTAAGAACGGACCTCTGGAACGAATTAAGTTCGTAACCTGAGGTACCACTGTAATTTGCGTTCATTGTTATTCCCGCTTTTGCTTCTGGCCCCACCTCCTTCTGAAATACAGTCCCCAGGAAGTTACCAATAAAGAAAAGGTTTCACGTCCCTTTCTTTTTGTGTGGGAGAGATGTTTTAATGAAGTAGTTTGTTAAAAAAAAATAGAACTGCCTTTTGGATTTTTTAATGCTGGTTTTATTTTATGTACGCGTTTGTTTTTGCTTAAAATATTGTAAGTCGCTTGGGTTGCTAAGGCAAAAGAAGCAGCTAATACATTTAATAAATAATAATAATAATAATTCAAGCTCCAAGCTGCTGTTTCTCACACACTAACCTCAGAACGGCAATAACGTCAGACCCCACACCATTCGGCAAATTAACAGCTCACTCAGGAGACCACCCACAGTCATGAAATGTTCACATTTCCTTAAGGCACTGACTGCTCATTCCCAACAATCAAGGCAGCCAGACTCAGGCCAGCCCGATTCTCAGCGTCATGCTCTAGTGTGGTCAAGGAACAGGACCCAGGGTGGGACCCAGTGCTGGATTTACGTATAAACTAAACAAGCTATAGCTTAGGGCCCCACTATATCCAACACAAAAAACAGCGACAATTTGTTGTTCACAAAGGACAGCTGGGCATATAAAGGGCCCCATTACCTTCAGTAGCTTAGGGCCTCATCAAACCTAAATCTGGCACTGGTGGGACCTATGGAGACTGGAGGAGGTGCTAGCCTTCATGGTTTCAAGGGGAGGGGAAAGAACTTAAATGGTGAAAGCAGCCGAAGGTTTCAGATTACAGAGCAGCAAGTGAGCATTTGACATCGACAAGGAGGAGGAAGTACCTGTGAAAAGACAATGACTTTTCCTGTGTCTTCGTTGACAGCCCGAATGGTCCCAAGGATTGTGGCTGTGCCCACAGCCTTGGCCAGGACCTGCCCCACTCCGTTAACTGTGGCCACAGACTGGTTGCTGATGGAGAAGTGAATGAGGGACTGGGGCTGTGGGCCGCCTTCTGACATCACCTGCAGCAGATTGGAAGAACAAGGAAGAAGCATATCCTGACATCACTCTGCCACCAGCTGGGAACAATGCCCCCCCTCCCCCTCCAGTCTATCACAGAGAGGATCCTGGCCTCTCGTACATCAGGAGTGGGGAAACCTGTGGTAGGATTGTAAGTTAATTGAAAAAATTTGGGAAATGATATACAGTGGTGCCTCACAAGACGAAATTAATCCGTTCCGCGAGTCTCTTCGTCTTGCGGTTTTTTCGTCTTGCGAAGCACGGCTATTAGTGGCTTAGCGGCTATTAGCGGCTTAGCGGCTATTAACGGCTTAGCGGCTTTAAGAAAAAGGAAACAAACTCGCAAGAACTCGCAAGACGTTTCGTCTTGTGAAGCAAGCCCATAGGGAAATTCGTCTTGCGGAACGACTCAAAAAACTGAAAACTCTTTCGTCTAGCGAGTTTTTCGTCTTGCAGGGCACCACTGTACAACGAATTGAAGAAAATGTTCCATTTAACATTTTTTTAAAAAAACCCGAGGCATTTTTGTTGGGGATTGTAGGGAAAGATCTGCCAAAAAAGCTGAAAAACATCTTCATGTATGTGACAACGGCCACAAGAGTTTTAACAGCACAAGGATGGAAGACTGAAGAAACCCCAACTAAAGAATCATGGCAAGAAAAATTGACGGACTATGCAGAACTGGCAAAACTGACATACAAGCCACGGGACAAGGATAACTGTGACTTTAAAGATGAACAAGAACCCTTTATAAAGTATTTGAAGACACAACAAAGCGAACTGGACTCCTTGGCTGGTTTTGAATAAACACTCACAAACTTTTATTTGATAATAATCAGCTAAATGGTTTGAGGATCTATACAACTGTGTAACATGCAGAAAACAGCATTTTTAGAGAAATCAAAGACTGGAACTGAGGGAAGTCAGGGGTGGGGTGGGGGTGGGTGGGTTTTGTGTGGGATGGTGGGGGGAGGGAGGAAAAATGGGGGGAAAATAAGGATGATATGTTTCTGGATAATATGTTTTGTTTTAATTTTGAATAAACAAGTTATTTTTTTTAAAAAAGGAGTGGGGAAACCTCAGATTTGAGGGGTCTACTTTAGTTAGGATCCCACAACCTACCAATCAAAGCCAGGTGTAAGAGGCAATTAGACCCCACACCCCCCACCATATGTTTAAGAAACATGGCTTCCCCCAAAGTGTCCTGGAAATGGGAGTTTAGCCCTCCATGTCATACAATTTCCAGCACCCTTAACAAACTACTGTCCCAAACTTTCTTTGTGGGAGGTAATGTGCTTTTAATGTATGTCGTGTACTGTACGAGAATCCTTACTATTTGCTGCAGATATGACAGGAGGCTAGGAAGGGGTGATAAAAGTGGTCAATTTTTAAACAGAGAAACTGATTAATCATGCAAAATCAATTCTAGGCAGTTTGCTAATGAATTTGTAACTGTATTAACTGATAGAACAAGCTGACCTGCCCTCCCTGTGACGTTATCTAAATCTGTGATGAAAGGGCAGAAAAAACTCTGCTTTACAAGCAGAAAGAAGGAGTGAAAGTTCTAGGTAAGGCAGGGACAGGGAGTATGTGGCTCTCCATAAATGATGTTGGACTGCAGCCCCCAAAGGCTGAGACTCTTAGGAGTTGGAGTCCAACAGCATCTGGAGGGTCACTGTTCTCCCCATCCCTGTTCGTGGTAGCAGCACTGTATAGGAGGCATTTCAGGACCTGGGAGAGCTCCCAAGGAAGGGAGGTGGCACTGGATCAAGCTCATTACCCAGTAGCAAGGATTAGGGGCAAGGAGGCGGCTCTCCAGGACCTTGGATAGCTCCCCGAGGTAAAACCTTTGGTACTGGGAAGAAGACAGGTCTGAAAATGTAGTCCAGTCTACACTATACATTTAAAGTAGTACCACAGTACTTTAAACAGCCATGGCTTACTCAAAAACAATCTTGGGAACTGTCATTTGTTAAGGGTGCTGAAAGTTGTTAGGAGATTCCCCTCTTCCCCTCCCAGAGCTACAATTTCCAGAATGACTTACCAAACAAACCCTTAACTCAGGGAACTTTGGGGGTTGCAGCTCTGTGAGGGAGAACAGGGGGTTGTCTAACAACTCTCAGCACTCTTAATGAACCACAGTATCCAAAATGCTGTTTGGAGCTGTTTTAAGGAGTATAATACTTCTTTAAATATATAGTACGGATGGAGCCTGGATCTGCTCTCCTCCAGTGGAAACATGAATTGCATCGACTGACATGGTCCTGTAGGCGCAGTGACTCATCTCAGGGTAACCTATGCCATGGAAAGAAAGAAGGAAGGAAGGGAGGGAGGGAGGGAGATAGCCAATAGGATGGTTTCATCCAACTGATACTCTGAACTTACCTGCATCATGTTGTGTGGAATGAGGGTTATTTTCTCTGGGATGAGCTTGAATGGTGGGAAGACCTGGCAAAACACAACAGCAGTCAAATTTGGCACGTGGGAATTGAGGCTGTCTTTAAACACACACACACACACACACACTGGACCAGCCTTCCCCAGTCTGGCGCTGCTGAACTTTAATTGCCATCAGCCTCAGCCAGCACGGCCAGTGGTCAGGGATACTGGGAGTTGTGGTCCAGAACAACTATAATGGACCAGGCTGGGAGAAGGTCATGCTATAGAGTCCATCATCTTTTCATTCAAATCTGAAGCCAGGGCCAAAGGAACATTTCACAGAACTTGCGCATGAAGTTCTTAACACCTCTGGTTCTAAAACCACAGGAGACGTTTTTTGCAAACCTTTTCCCCCCGTGTGCCTGGGTTTTTTGACAGCCCAGTGGCTGCAATTCCTTACCTCCACTTTCCGAGGCGCCGAGGTGAATTTGATTCCCATTTTGTCCCAGGCCACGGCCACTAAACTTGTCTGCCCCACAGCCATGGCTCGGAGGACGTAGACTTCGGAATAGTCACCCACTTCCTCCATTAGCCTGCAAGGAGAGGTTTGGTATGGTTGCATTTTGTCCATTTTCAGGCTGGTTTCTGGCACCCATCTTCACATCTTCTACTGTCCTGGGCATAACACTAGACAAATGATGGAGCTCACAAAGAAGAAAGATCAGCTGCACGACGGCAAGACTTTCCCTGCCTGGGATCAGCTCTGCCATTTTCAGTGTGGCTGCCATGGGAAGAGCTTGACAAACGGGCAACAGCCATCCCAGAGACACCAGCGGCCGAACCTGGGACCTTCTGCACTGCATCTGAGCTTTGCTCCTTCTCTTAAAGAGTAAAGCAAGACTCCAGACCTCATGGCTTTGAATAATGACCTGATTTTAAAAGGAGCATTGGATTCTATCTGAGACCCCTGTTCCGTCTAGTGCAGTATTTTCTACACTGGCCAGCAGCAGTTCTCAGGAGTTTGGGACGGAAGACATGCCTAGCCTGACTTCCTACAAATCAAGTAAGATCCCTCACAGTTCTGAATAAAGAGCTGGATTAAAAAGGAACACTGGAATATGCTGCGTAAGAAACCAGTTTATCTCACTTACTACAGTGGTACCTCTGGTTAAGAACTTAATTCGTTCTGGAGGTCCGTACTTAACCTGAAACTGTTCTTAACCTGAAGCACCACTTTAGCTAATGGGGCCTCCCGCTGCTGCTGCGCCGCCAGAGCACGATTTGTGTTCTAATCCTGAAGCAAAGTTCTTAACCCGAGGTACTATTTCTGGGCTAGCGGAGTCTGAAACCTGAAGCATCTGTAACCCGAGGTACCACTGTATTGCCTACAATGATTGGCAGGGGCTCTCTAAGGTTTCAGGCAGGGGACGTTCCCAGCCCGGCCGGGAGATGCCATTGGGGATTTAACTTTTAAAAAAGGCAGACTGAGCTACAGCTCTTGCAGTTTCGACCACAAGTTTTGACACTGTGGACTTGGTCAGTTTTGTGGGTTTCAACAGTTTGGGTGGAGTGTGAGAGCAGGGAAGGAGAACGCCTTGCAATCCGAAAGATGACCTGTTAAGAAGCAGAAGTCAAAGCACAGGAGACACGGGGCACTTACGTCAGTGTGACAATGGGGGAGGCTGCCTTCAGCTGGAGCCGCATGTAGACAAAGTATTTACTCCGGAAAGGGTACCGGTGATGTCCCAGGACGCGCACGGAGACCAGCACCGATTTTCCAACCTCAATCTGGGGAAGAAGGCAGAGGGTTCCAGGGTGTCCTCAACTTGGATGGCTTCGAGAGAGGATTAGATAAATTCACGGAGGAGAAGGCTGTCGAGGGTTACTAGCCATGATGGCGATGCTCTGCCTCCAATGGTTGGAGGCAGCGATGCTTCTGAATACCAGCTGCTGGAAACCGCAGGAGGGCTCTTGCGCTTGGATTCTTGCGCTTGGCAGAGGGCCTTCTCGGTAGTGGCACCCGCCCTGTGGAACGCGCTCCCACCAGATGTCAAAGAGAACAACAACTACCAGACGTTTAGAAGACATCTGAAGGCAGCCCTCTTTAGGGAAGCTTTTAATGTTTAACATACTGTATTTTAATACTTTGTTGGAAGCAGCCCAGAGTGGGTGGGGAAACTCAGCCAGATGGGCGGGATCGAAATATTATTATTATTATTATTATTATTATTATTATTATTATTATTATTATTATTCTGCCTGGGGGCTTCCCAGAGGAATCTGGTTGGTCGTTGTGAGCCCAAGACAGTCTGATTCAGCAGGGCCCTTCTTATCTTCTTCATACAGCAGGCATATCGGAAGCTGCCTTACTTCACATCAGACCCATTGGTCCACCTAGCTCAGTAGACTGACTGGCAGTAGCTCTCTAGGGGTTTCAGGCAGAGCTGCCACCTGGCCCTACCTGGAGCTGCCACTGGGGATGGGACCAGGGGCCTTCTGCGTGCAAAGCCGATGCTCAACCACTGAGCCGCGGTTTCTTCTCACACATACCCCAGTGCCCCCTCCAGATTTTGTTGGGACTCCAGCCCCCTCCGGCGGAAAAGCAAGTGGACTGAGATGCGGAGTCAGACAAAGTAACATTCAGTGCGTGTGGCACAGGGACCGCGCTCCCCAAGGCTACAAGGTTTCTACCCGTCCCACTGCCAGGTGATGAGCAGGTAACAGCAAAGGTGGCTAGGTTCATAGCTGGGGCAATCAGAGTAAGGGCCACTAACTGACTGCCGATTCAGGACTTTAAATTGTGCTCTTATATCAAATTTCCTTTTCTGCGTATACTGTGATGTTTTACTTTTGCTATGGCCATTGGCTCATGAGAATACAGTGGTACCTCGGGTTAAGAACTTAATTCGTTCCGGAGGTCCGTTCTTAACCTGAGACTGTTCTTAACCTGAGGCACCACTTTAGCTAATGGGGCCTCCTGCTGCTGCCGCTGCGCTGCCAAAGCATGATTTCTGTTCTCATCCTGAAGCAAAGTTCTTAACCCAAGATACTATTTCTGGGTTAGCGGAGTCTGTAACCTGAAGCGTATGTAACCCGAGGTACCACTGTAAAGTTTTATCTTATCTTATCTATCTGCCAGGTGATGTATGTGTTCCCTTTGTAGCGGCCCTGTGCAAAGGGAAACCCACTCCCACAAATCTCTGCAAATCCAGGCTACGTAGCCAGCGGCCGCTCATGCCCTCTGACACCCCTCCGGCCAGCTTACCAATACTCATCATACCTTATCAACAAGGTCCACTTCCAACTCGTACATATTGGAGATGCGAAGGTAGGCTGTAGCAGGTCCCAGGAAGGCCAGGCACAGGTCGTAGATCTCCAAGGTCAAAGAGCCAGGAAGGACAGGAACCACCTGCAAGGAAAGTGACAGGAGCAGTCGCTCGCAGGGTAAAGGAGACATCACTTATCAGGCGGTATGAGACGGCAGGGCCCCGATCCTTTGGCTTTTGAAATAAATCTGGTTACCACAGGAACTCTGTAAAGTAAGAAATTGTGCCAGAGCTGAATTTTTTCTTTTTGTCTCCTCCCTCCGAGTCCCTTTTCCTTTTGTGTCGTGTCTCTTAGATCAGAAGCCTGAGGCTGTCTTACCGCTGATGCTTGCAAGTCCCCCTGAGAGCTATTTTTCGGCTGGAGAGCAAGGTTAATACTTTGCTTTACAAAATATATAGACTGCTTAAACCAAAAGAAAAAAGGGGGGAAGGAAAGGAAAGGAAAGGAAAGGAGGAAGGAAGGAAGGAAGGAAGGAAGGAAGGAAGGAAGGAAGGAAGAAAGAAAGCTGTCTAAGTAGATTACACAAAACTGTGTAAACTATTTACTGTTCAAAAGCAACAGCTGATATGATAGGTAAGATGTACATACAAGTATACACAATGAAACATATGCCTGGGTAGGCTTGCCTAATAATATTTACAATTTTTGGTTTATTTATTAAATCTGTATACCGCTCTTCATCCACAGATGTCAGGGCAGTTCACAACATAATAATATTAATAAGAAAAATAATTAACAGTAGCAATAATATGATATTATCAAATTAAGAGAAGGGGAAGAATAGGTGGCAGGAGATCCTGAAGCCCTAGCTTTCTCTCCTCATAAAGGCTCACAGAGCAACACACTTTGACACTCACCTGAATGGCGCTCTCTGTTTCCAGGTAAGTGATGTTCACCATCTCCTGTGCGCTGCTGTTGACAAGGAAGTAACCGGACCCTTCCACCAGCGCAAACACTTCCTAGGCAAAGCAGAAGGGGGGAGATATCCACACCAGGACCCCAAGTCCGCTCTTTCAATGTTGCCACACAGAGCACTGGCTTACCTGGGGCTGCTCTGTTTTACTCCAAGGTCAGAGTTGCCACCGTTGCCCCATTTTGCCTCTGCCAAAGTTCTCCACGAAGAGCCCCTGGTCTGAGCAGGGTTCCTCACCACCTGACCCACACCCAGCTCCTTGGCCCCTACCTTGACATCGGGATGGTTGTACACAGTGATGTTATCCGGAACCACAGTCACGTCCTCGACCAGCATGAGTTCCACGGCAGCAGAGGCAGGGGAGTTGGAGACTTCCTGTGTGCAGAAAGGGCAAGAAATGCTGCCTCGGGGTGTTTCTGCAGAAGGCAGGCCAACGCCAAGGAAACCTGTGCCCTTTTTCTTTTCCTGAAGGAAACAGATCTGTGCATACCCAAGAAGAACCAAGGAAAAGCCCTACTGGGCCAGACCCAATGGCCTATTGAGTCCAGCACGCTGCTCTCCACGTGGCCCAGCCAGATGTGGATGGGAAGCCCGTGAGCAAGATGTAGGCCCCGCTCTTCAGAGGCCTCTGATACTGGAGGTAATACAGTGGTGCCCCGCAAGATGAATGCCTCGCAAGACGGAAAACTCGCTAGACGAAAGAGTTTTCCGTTTTGGAGGTGCTTCGCAAAACGAATTTCCTATGGGCTTGCTTCGCAAGACGACAATGTCTTGCGAGTTCCTGCTGGGTTTTTTTCCTCCCCCCCCTTTTCTAAGCCGCTAAGCCGCTTATCAGCTGATCTGATCAGCAGATAAGCCGCTAAAAGCCGCTAATAGCGCTAATCCGCTAATCCTTCAATGGGCTTGCTTCGCAAGACGAAAAAAACCGCTAGACGAAGAGAATCACAGAACGGATTCTTTTCGTCTTGCGAGGCACCACTGTACAGCCATACTGATTAGGAGCCACTGATACGTCTTATCCTCCGCGGATCTGTCTAAGCCCCTTCTAAAGCCGCTTTAAGCTGACCGCCTCGCAGCGTCCCTTTTTGTCTCTCCTAAATATCCCGACGGTCGGCTTCATTGGATGATCCCAGGTTTTCAGGTACAACGAGGGAGAAAAGAACACCTCTCTGCCCACTTTCTCGACACCATTTTACATTTATTTATTTAATAAAATTCACATGCCGCTCGACGGTAGGGAAAAAGCTCAAGAGTGATTTACAAAAAAGAACAGAACACCGACATTATTGGTGGAGGGTTAAAAACCATTTAAAACCTTCAAAAACAATGAAAATCAACGATAAGCTTAAAAACTGCATTAAAACACATGCCAACGTTCTGGGTAGGCTTGCCTAAACAAAAGTGTTTTGAGCAGCCGCTGGGGAAGAGCACAGTGAAGGTGCCTGCTGGATGTCAAGAGGCAAGGAGTTCCAAAGTTTGGGTGCATTTCTTACAAATGTGGGACAGGTATTACAAGTATTTATGAAATCTAGCAGCAGGTAACTAACTGCATGTGATACTGGATGAGTTCTGGTGCCTACCTCCCCTACACATACTTGCAACCCAGGGGGACTCAGATAGCGCAGCTAATCTGGCATGTTAGGTATTGCTTCTCACGGCGCCAAAGCTGACATGATAGAGAGCCCAGCTGTAGTTTTCTCCCTTTTCCATTGCAAAATGTCTTGAGAAGCTTAGGCAGTAAGTTGTTCTCTCCTTTCTCAAGGAAACGGGGTGGTTTTTTTGAGGGGAGGACGGTTCTGACGAGACAATCACATTGCGAGATGTGGGAGACGGCAATTGTTTCTTTTCTGGTCTTGACTGGGGCGTTGGCACTATACGGCCCCTGATCCCCTGCTTCCATGGCTTTTTGCTCTTTTCAAGACCAGACCAGGCAATTTTTTTCTATAAGCTGCCTTGAGTTCTTGTCAGGGAAAACAGCAGGGAATAATAATAATAATAATAATAATAATAATAATAATAATAATAATAATAATAAAAAACCACGGCATCTGTAACAGTGCCTGTTTGCAAATTAGAGCAGTTAAGTGGGCCTATATGGGTAAAGATGATCTCATAGGTAAATTGTTAAGGGCTTTATATACTACAGTGGATCCTTAGTTGCTGAACACCTCCATTGTCATACATTTCTGCTCCCAAACGCTGAAAACCCAGAAGTAGCTCCGGTTTTCGAACGATTTTCGGAAGCTGAACATGATAGGCGACTTCCGTCTTGAGTTTCCCTATTGTATTGAAGCTTCTGGTTTCAGTTTTCGGAAGTCGAACGGTCTTCCGGAATGGATTACGTTCAAAAACCGAGGTTCCACTGTAACAGTAACACCCTGAACTTGGCCCGGTAGGAAACAGGCAGCCAGTGCAGTTCTTACATACGTCTACCATGCAAATAGAATTGTAGAGTTGGAAGGGACCCTGAGGGTCATCTAGTCCAGTGTTCCCCAACCTTGGGCCTCCAGCTGTTTTTGGACTACAACTCCCATCATCCCTCGCTAGCAAGACCAGTGGTCAGGGATGATGGGAATTGTAGTCCAAAAACAGCTGGAGGCCCAAAGTTGGGGAACACTGATCTAGTCCAACCCCCCTGCAGTGCAGGAATCTCTGCTAAAGCATCCAGGACAGTTGGTCACCCAACCTCTGCTTCGAAACCTCCAAGCAAGGACCCGAGGACAACAACACCCTCTCCATGGAGCAACCTTCCCTCCACTCACTCTTGGGCTCCCTCTCTCGGAGTATTTCACAAAGTTGACGGAGATCAACACCGTCCCTTTGATCTGCCGCACCTCAAGGAGCTGGTGTCCTGGGACCAAAACAGATACAGACATAGGGAGGGAGGGAGAGAAAAGGAAGCAGAAATTGAAACAAATGTATTTTAAAATTGCCATTCTTACATAGGAAGGGGGGTGTGAGGGAGACTGCATTCTTGCACGTGAGATACAGTAAGTTTTATTTTTAAAAAAATTACAGGGATGAGCAAAAGGGGTCTTGCCAGGTGGGGCGGAGCCACAAGAAGAAAAAGAAGAGTTTGGATTTGATATCCCGCTTTATCACTACTCGAAGGAGTCTCAAAGCGGCTAACAATCTCCTTTCCCTTCCTCCCCCACAACAAACACTCTGTGAGGTGAGTGGGGCTGAGAGACTTCAGAGAAGTGTGACTGGCCCAAGGTCACCCAGCAGCTGCATGTGGAGGTGCGGGGAAGCGAACCCGGTTCACCAGATGACGAGTCCACCACTCTTAAACACTACAGCACACTGGCTCATAACAACACTAACATCCTGGCAGTTGGGACGCTGTTGCTTACTGTGAGGGAAAGGAGAGAAGTGGCAGGGAGACCAGCATGGTGCAAACACACCCATGGAGCCAATCCAGCACAACTGCCGATGTGTTTGCACCATGCCAACCTCCCCACTTCATCCCAGTAAGCTGCAGCAGGACAGATGCTTCTGCAGCTGAGATAGTGCTACTGTGCATTGTAGAAGTTAGAGTGCTGGCTTGGGGCATGAGAGTCCAGGGTTCAAATCCCCAATGGGCCATGAAGCTCACTGCCCCTCAGCCAAAGCTCACTGCCCCTCAGCTACACGATTGTTGTTTTGGGGAGTAACTACTACTTTGCGGTGAGCACCTTTTTTCTAGAAGAAAAGCCATGGGGGAAAACCATGCAAAGCCACCTTGAGCTCCTTGGAGAAAAAGCTTGGGACGCTAAGTGCAATAAACAAAATAATTAATAACCCATTTAAAGGTGTAAGCAAAGCCCTCCTGGCTCAGGCCAGTGGCTCATCTAGCCTGGTGTCAGGGGACTGCCATCGGAACAGGGGAGGGAGGCAGGGGGATACAGAGAGCCTCCGAAGCTTCTGAGGAGCAGCTCCTTGTCCAGCGGTGGAGAAAGCCACACCTCCAGTGGAGCAGAGGGGGAAGGGGGCAGCCAAGCGAGGGGAGGGCTTGAAGATGCTACTGAGAGCCTAAGCGCCTCACCTAGCCCGGCTGGCCAGGAAACAGACACACCGTTTCCGTCACTTAGCTTATGCAGAGGGGTGAAACGTAAGGAGGGGAGGCGGAGATTTTGGGTGTCTAAGTTCTTATGTTGGGGGAGAAACCGGAAGGGGTCACTCCCGGAATCTGCAAGTGACTAAGACGGACATGAACTTTGTGGTTCTGCACTGTAAATAGTTTGCACCAATAAAACCTGTAAAAGACAGGTTGGAGTCCTGCCTGGTTACTCACGAGCAACCACCACCAGCACCTGACACCTGGCATCCTGTTCTCACAGCAGCCAACCAGATGTCCAGGTGGGAAACCCGGAAGCAGGGTGTGAGAACAACAGAAATTCTCCTTTCCTGTGGTTTCCAAATTGCGCGGCGGAAGCAGGACCGAGATAATTAAAAAAGCACTGGTTGTGGCAGTTCTAGCTACAGGGGCTTGGATGGTCTCTTCATTAAAGGGCCTGGGAACATAAGAAGAGCCTGCTGGATCAAAGCAGTGGCCCCTCTAACCGGGCATCAGTTCTCACAGTCGCTAACCAGACGCCCCAATGAGAAACCCGCAAGCAGGACTTCAAGCACAACACCACCCTCCCCATGTGCAATTCCCAGCAACAGGTATTACAGTGGTGCCTCGCCAGACAAAAATAATCCGTTCCGCGAGTCTCTTCGTCTAGCGTTTTTTTCGTCTTGCGAAGCAACCCTATTAGTGGCTTAGCGCTATTAGCGGTTTAGCAGCTATTAAAGGCTTAGTGGCTTAGCGGCTAAAAGGCTATTAGCGGCTTAGCGGCTTAGAAAAAAGGGGGGGGAGCGAAAAAAATCGCAAGACTCCTTGCGAAGCAAGCCCATAGGGAAATTCGTTTTGCAAAGCGCATCGAAAAACGGAAAACCCTTTCGTCTAGCGGGTTTTTCGTCTTGCGAGGCATTCGTCTTGCGGGGCACCACTGTATTTCGGAGGCGTATTACTGCCTCCGGGAGCAGAGGAAGAACACAGGAATCCTGATTAGTAGCCACTGGTTTCTCTGCTGAAGCGCAACGCCGAGTCGTACCATGGAGCCTGGTCTGTCCAGTCCCATCATCCTTCGGTACCATCTGCATGGACCTCGGTAGAGCGAAGTGAGCGAGGCTTTGATTGGCCGATATCCACTCCAGGATTAGGGAGGTGAAGTTATCAAACTTCCGCCGGTGCTGGTCGAAGAGAGCTAGCTCCAAAACGGTGTTCCTCAAACTGGACACGGGGACCTGCAAGGTATCCCAAAAGACACCGGAGGCAGCCTGCATTTAATAGCGTGCGAGATGCACCTGGGAAAGGACCACATCTTTGTGATCTACGGTGCCAAAGCACAGAAGCCCTGCAAAGCAAGGGCAGAAGAACTTGAAAGGTACCGATGATGACACCTTGGAAGATTACATACCATGCTTAACTGATCGGTCCATTAGACTGATTCTGTTTAAAAAGCTTTGGTCTACTAAAGAAAGATAAAACCCTGATAACAATGGCTGGCAACAAATATAATAATAATAATAATAATAATAATAATAATAATAATAATTATTATTATTATTATTCTATGTCGCCATCTGACTGGGTTGCCCCAGCCGCTCCTAGCGGCTCCCAACAAAATATTAATATACAGTCGTACCTTGGTTCTCAAACGGAAACCGTTCCGAAAGTCCGTTTGACTTCCGAAAACGTTCAAAAACCAAGGCGCGGCTTCTGATTGGCTGCAGAAGCTTCCTGCACTCAAAGCAGAAGCCGCGGAAGCCATGTTAGACGTCTGGCTTCCAAGAAACATTTGCAAACCAGAACACTCACTTCTGGGTTTATGGCATTCAGGAGCCAAAACACTCGAGTCACAAGGTGTTCAAGATCCAAGGTACAACTGTATTTAAAAGATATATATTAAAATCCAGTGCTTTTCTTCTAGGAAAAGTGGTGCTGGTACTGCGTACCCTTGAGTGCTCCCAGAAAAAGCACTGTTTAAAATCTATCTATCTATCTATCTATCTATCTATCTATCTATCTATCTATCTATTTTCCCTATAAGGACTTTCCTTGCAGTTATACAAACTTTCTGAGCCCAATTTCTGGCTAAAAACCAAAAAAAGACTGTCCAACATCTCCCCAAGATTCCCAAACAAACGGAGCGCATTGAGGCACTTCTAGCTTTTCCCGGAACACTTACCAGCTGCTTGTGGTGCTGAGGCAAAGGGCAAGGCGGAGTGCCAGCTGCCAGCTTATACACAGGTGTCACGGCCATGCTGGCAGGGTGGGCACAAATGAACCTCACCTGCACCATCTCCACAGCAGGACTGGGGTTTAGCACACCCGGATGATTGCCCACCTGGAACGTAAACACCTTTGGGGAAGCAGCAAAGGAAGAGTGGTTGTCAGCCAGCAGGCTTTGCAAATGTAGCATAAAGTTTAGATGTAACCAGAGCCTTTGGACGGGGTCAGTTTAAAGCATTAGACTAAGAAAGACAAACGCTTAACTACTGAATCTGGAAAGGGGTCATCACTGTGGACGGTTCACACAGCTAGAAGGGAGAATAAGCCAAGCACAGATGAAGCCATCATAGCACCGTTTTCTGTAAGATGCACCAGCGCTATGGAGGCTGTGCCTTTCCTTATCGGCCATTACGAATAATAATAATAATAATAATAATAATAATAATAATAATAATAATAATAATAATTTATTTATACCCTGCCCATCTGGCTGGGCTTCCCCAGCCACTCTGGGCGGCTTCCAAAAAAATATTAAAATACTGTAATACATCAAACATTAAAAGCTTCCCTAAACAGGGCTGCCTTCAGATGTCTTCTAAAAGTCTGGTAGTTGTTGTTCTCTTTGACATCTGATGGGAGGGCATTCCATAGGGCGGGTGCCACTACCGAGAAGGCCTTCTGCCTGGTTCCCTGCAACTTGGCTTCTCGCAGTGAGGGAACCGCCAGAAGGCCCTCGGTGCTGGACCTCAGTGTCCGGGCAGAATGATGGGGGTGGAGACGCTCCTTCAGATATACTGGGCCGAGGCCGTTTAGGGATTTAAAGGTCAGCAGCAACACTTTGAATTGTGCTCGGAAACGTACTGGGAGCCAATGTAGGTCTTTCAAGACCAGTGTTATGTGGTCTTGGTGGCCGCACCCAATCACCAATCTAGCTGCCTGTTAACGTCTTGGGCGGGGGAGAGAATACGCACACACCTTCCTCCTACCTGTTCCCCCAGCTCCAGGCATGTGATCCGATAAATGTACTGGTTTTGCTTCCTCTTGGCCGGCAAACGAACCTCCACCACGTGGACATTTTCCTTATGCTCCACTCTGAGCTCCAAGAAGAAGCGGGATGGCTCCAATACCCATGGGCTGGGCCCTCCCTCGAACACCATCTCCTTCACGGAATGCCAGGTCACCAAAGCCACCTCCACGGGGTTTACAGCCTAGTCATTATATAACGGGGTTAACACTGCCTTGGCCTGCAAAGAATTGACCCAAGGACCCCCACCCCCACCCCCGGTTCCCCACCTGTAATTCTTCCAATAGGGAGGTCTGTGCTTTCTAACCAGCATTCACATCCCTAGTTCCAGGGAAACTACGGTAGTAAGATGATAGATCAGGTTGCAGACAAAGAACATCAAAATGAAGGACTCAGTTTTATACTGAACTAGACCATTTAGCTCAGTATTGTCTACACACTGAATGGCAGTGGCTCTGCAGGGGAGAGACCCTGCCCAACCTGGAGATGCTGCTGCTGTGGATCGTAATCTGCAAGCAAAGCAAATGCTCTTCCCTTGAGCTGTGGCCCTTCCCTCAACAATGCAAAAGGAATTCAAAAGAGAGAACAGAAATAAACTGTAATAATAATAATAATAATAATAATAATAATAATAATAATAATACCCCGCCCATCTGGCTGGGTTTCCCCAGCCACTCTGGGTGGCGTCCAAAAAAATATTAAAATACCGTAATACATCAAACATTAAAAGCTTCCCTAAACAGGGCTGCCTGCAGATGTCTTCTAAAAGTTTGGTAGTTATTTTTCTCTTTGACATCTGGTGGGAGGGTGTTCCACAGGGTGGGTGCCACTACCGAGAAGGCCCTCTGCCTGGTTCCCTGTAACTTGGCTTCTCGCAGCAAGGGAACCGCCAGAAGGCCCTCGGTGCTGGACCTCAGTTTCCGGGCAGAACGATGGTGGGTGTAGCACCACCCTCCACCCACTACTGCCATAGAGCCGGCGCCTCCTAACCTTGAGCGGTTCATAAGCAGCAAAGGTGGCACTCGTGTCAAAATACTCCTCGTAGATGGTGGCGCTGGCTGTCACCAGTGTATGGCCGAGAGACTTGGCTGCTAGATGGATGGTGGAGCAGAACTGTGGCCCAGCTTTCTGCTTACCTAACAAACAAGAGCACAACTGCTGTGTCCAGTTCTGGGCACCACAGTTCAAGAAGGACACTGACAAACTGGAACGTGTCCAGAGGAGGGCAACCAAAATGGTCAAAGGCCTGGAAACGATGCCTTACGAGGAACAGCTAAGGGAGCTGGGCATGTTTAGCCTGGAGAAGAGGAGGTTAAGGGGTGATATGATAGCCATGTTCAAATATATAAAAGGATGTCACATAGAGGAGGGAGAAAGGTTGTTTTCTGCTGCTCCAGAGAAGCGGACACAGAGCAATGGATCCAAACTACAAGAAAGAAGATTCCACCTAAACATTAGGAAGAACTTCCTGACAGTAAGAGCTGTTTGACAGTGGAATTTGCTGCCAAGGAGTGTGGTGGAGTCTCCTTCTTTGGAGGTCTTTAAGCAGAGGCTTGACAACCATATGTCAGGAGTGCTCTGATGGTGTTTCCTGCTTGGCAGGGGGTTGGACTCGATGGCCCTTGTGGTCTCTTCCAACTCTATGATTCTATGATTCTATGCTCTTTCTACAAGCACAGGAAGAGCGATTGATCTGTCAACCAACTACAGAACTGCAACGAAGGAGCTCGGCAACTCACCCAGGTGGCAATTGCAGTGCCCCGTGATTGTGGAGTACGGTGGAGAGCACAATGGGGCATTGGTCAAGAGTGGGTGTCCTTCTAAAGCCTGTGGGGAGGCCATCCTAACAAACAGCCATCCCCTGAATCTGCTCCTCAGTCTGCCCATGCAAACATTGGGATATGTGTGAAGGGGAGGGTGTGCTATTTTTCATTTATTGTTAGGTGTTATGTACTGAGTTGAATAGGATCCAAAATGCAGTAGTCTGATTGGTCCTAGAACAATAGGACCCAGAATGCAGCAGTCTGATTGGCCCACAGGAGCCATCCAATCCAGCTCCAGGTGGAAGTGAATCCGCAACCTGATTGGCCTACAGGAGAATCTTGGAATTAGCCAATCAGGTGGGGCCCATTGTGTAAATAATGTATATAAAGCAGACATTCTGGGGGAACTTCCATTTCCTCCTCACCACTATGAGCTGAAGAAAGAGCATGAAATCCACTCTCGACTCCAAGTATATTTCAGTGAAATATACTCAGAGTCGAGAGTGGATTTCATTACTACTTTATTTTTCTTTCGAAATTTTGCACCCTTAAGAATTTTGCACCCAGGGCAACTGCCCCTGTGGCCCCACCCACACGATGGCACAGGCTCCCAGGATTCTTTGGGGGAAGCCATGACCGTTTAACGTGGCGCAGTACTGCTTTAAACGCCTAGTGAAGATGAGGCCTAAAACAGGAGGCCAGGAGAGGACCAGCTACCCATTTATGTTAGGGAGCAAGTGAAGAGAGCTGCCCTCTTACCCGCTTCATCCAGGGCGAACACTCCTTGCTTATCCATGCCAACGTCCAGGGGTAAGAGTGAGCAGTCCGTGAAAGCGATGGTCTCCCCCGTCTCTTTCTCAACATGGTACATCCTGAGTGGGACTTCCAAGGTCTGCCCAATCTCAGTGTCTGCATGGAACGGCAAGAACTCCATCTTTGAGAGCTTGAGCACATACACCTGAGTGGGGGCAGGGGGGGAAGAGTCAAAAAACACATGAAAACATCTTCATGTATGCGACAACGGCCGCCAGAGTTTTAATAGCACAAGGATGGAAGACTGAAGAAACCCCAACTAAAGAGTCATGGCAAGAAAAATTGATGGACTACGCAGAACTGGCAAAACTGACATACAAGCTACGGGACAAGGATAACTGTGACTTTAAAGATGAATGGGAACCCTTTATAAAGTATTTGAAGACACAACAAAGCGAACTAGACTCCTTAGCTGGCTTTGAATAAACATTCACAAACTTTTTATTGATAATAATCAGCTAAATAGTTTGAGGCTCTATACAACTGTGTAACATGCAGAAAACAGCATTTTTAGAGAAATCAAAGACTGGAACTGAGGGAAGTCAGAGGGTGGGTGAGTTCTGTGGGGGGAGGGAGGAAAAATGGGGGGGGGAATAAGGATGATGTGTTTCTGGATAATATGTTTTGTTTTAATTTTGCATAAAAAGTTATTAAAAAACAACAACAACAAAGAGCACCTAGGAGGGAAGAATTAGCTCTCTAGGGATTCAGAACGCCCCAAGGCCTCTCTTCAGACTGAGTTTGAAGCCTGTAGGGGGGAGGGTTGACCCAGCAAGCAATTTGACTTGCGCCAATGCCGCGGAAAGACTTGCCTGTATTTCCCCAAAGTGGAAAGGGTTCTGTACATCTCTGGCCTGCACGGCAGTCTGGCCCTCAACCAGCCCGGCTGTGACCACTCCTTTCACCGTGACGGTGGCCACGGTCTGATTGGAAGAGGTCCATGTGAAGTTGCCGCTGCCTCCCTCCACCTGTGAATAGTTGGGAGAGCAGAAGGGGGGGAATACAAAATGCACAGTTAAGCCTGTACCCCCCGGAATAAGATGATGATGTTCTCCACCAGGGTGTTGGAGAGAGCATGTGTCACTGGATCAGAAACAGTGGCCTCCGTTGGTAGAAATGCAAGCATGGACTCACATGGCCAATGTAAGGGGACTGCAGGAATAGAAAACTCAATGTAGCAGTGGCCTGAACTAGTGAGGAGGCCTAACCTCAGGTCCCTTCTGCTAGGGAGGTCAGGTGGTCATCTATGTTTTCTGCAGTAGGTCTTCCTCAGCGGGTTGTCAGGGTGTCTTTTTCACCAGCCTCCTCTTGTAGACAGAGAGGCTAACACTTTTATTCCATTTGGTATTAGCAGAGATTCTCATGGGTTGCTTCCGGGTGGCCTGTTTAATTTTTAATTTTTTTGTTAGACTCTTTTATAATAAAAGGACATTGCTGAAAAGGACCTCTCCAAACGAAGCGAATGGGTGGTAAAGTGGCAAATGCAATTCAATGTAAGTAAACAAGCGTAAAGTGATGCGCGTTGGGGTAAAAATACGTGAATTTCACATATACGCTCATGGGGTCTGAACTGGAAGTGAGCGACCAGGAACGAGACCTTGGGGTTGTAATGGCTAGCTCAATGAAGACGTCGACCCGGTGTGCAGCTGCCTTGAAACAGGCAAATTCCATGCTATGGATCATTAGGAAAAGAATTGAAAGGAAAACTCCCTGGGCGGGATCTCCCAGCGTGGGAAACTGGGGGAAGAAGGGGAAGTTCCCAGGTGAGAGCTGGGAAGGTTCACTCTCCTTTGTGCGAAATAAAGGTTAAGATATAATTTTTGATAGAGGGCTGTTCTTATGTTCTTTAAAAAATCCTGTAGTGTACTCAGCCACATATAAGAAGGAAAGCTGAGCAGCGACACTGTCAGATAACCAAATCATTAAGTGCATCAACAAGGCTTTAAACTATCCGTGACACAGCCTCTCCATAAGTAAGCGTGAACGGCTGGAAATCTGTCAGTGACTTCACTTCTGTCTATGCAGCTGATATGAGGGAACCAGACGTTGTCAAAATGATCATGTTTCATTTGGCTCTTAACAACCCTTCTGTGTTGTGTTAGATGCTCGGGAGGAGAGTAAAGGGAAGCTCTGTTGTCATACACAACCCATTGCTTTAGGGTTTTGTCACTGGAAGCTCCGAAGGCATAAGTAGGTCAAAATGGTGGAGGGAATGGGTGCCATCTTTCCTGTGGCAGATGGTTGCAAACATTTGTACCGCACTGAGAAATGAATAAAGGGCATTCTAGGGGATTTATCTCCCCAGGTCTTGGTCAACTTCACCTGAACTCTGTACCGGTACAAGACGTCCAGTGGGTGGTGTGGGAATGCCAAGAAGGAGGGCGTCAGCGTGATGGGAAGGTAAACCTTCACTTCCTGCTTGTGGCTGATGGGCGGCTTTAATAAATCTTCTGAACCACTCTGGAGGAAAGGGAGGAATGATTGACCTGAATTTTCAGTCTTAAAAGAAAAACAAAAAAGATGTACATAACAAGGAATAAACATTGAAGCCTGCAGGCTAGCAAAATATCTCAAATTCCTAGCCAGCATCCAATGTTGAGACCTACTATTATTATATTATTGCAAACCCATAAATCCAGGCCAGAGAATATCCATATGCTACTACGATGGAGGAGCTTTTCTTTTACCTGGAGGAGAACAGACACCAGCGCGGCTTCAATGACGGTGACGCCATCCTTCAAAACCCGAACTACGTGGTAGGAGCCGTTCACTGAAGATATAAACTCTTGAAAGTATTCTTGGGGGAACTGGTGAGTTATTCGAAGATTCTGGAAGTCAAGGGGTGGGGGGGAAATGTTGTCAGAAGAAAGGACAGCGTGACATCGAACACTTTATCAGAAGCACAGCAAAAAGGTCACAGATCGACAGAATCATTGTGTCCTCGAAGTTGACTCCAAGGAAACCTACAAGGCTGGAAAGGTGTTTTCAAATTCTTCAGTGCCTGCATCCAATTTTTAAAGACTCTTGTTGTTTTTAGTAGACCTAACACAGACAGGCCAGTGGCCCGTCTAATCCAACATCCTGTTCTCACAGTGGCCGACCAGATGCCTCAGTGTGATTGGCCACAAAAGCATTCTCTTCGCTCTTGCAGTTTTTAGCAACTGGGATTCAGAAGCATTAATCCCCCTGACTGCAGAGGCAAAGCACAGCCATCATGCCAAGAAGAGGAGTTTGGATTTGATATCCCGCTTTATCACTACCCGAAGGAGTCTCAAAGCGGCTAACAATCTCCTTTCCCTTCCTCCCCCACAACAAACACTCTGTGAAGTGAGTGGGGCTGAGAGACTTCAGAGAAGTGTGACTGGCCCAAGGTCACCCAGCAGCTGCATGTGGAGGAGCAGGGAATCGAGCCCGGTTCACCAGATTGTGAGACTACTGCTCTTAACCACTACACCACACTGGCCAAGCACCCATTGACAGCCTTGTCCTCCATGAATTTCTCTAATCCTCTTTTAAAGTCATCTAGCTCGGTGGACATAATAGTAATAATAATAATAATAATAATAATAATAATAATAATAATAATAATAATAATAATAATAATAATAATTTATTATTTATACCCCGCCCATCTGACTGGGTTTCCCCAGCCACTCTGGGCGGATTCCAACCAAATATTAAAAACAATACAGCATCAAACATTAAAAACTTCCCTAAAAGGGGCTGCCTTCAGTTGTCTTTTAAAAGTAAAATAGTTGCTTATTGCCCTGACATCTGATGGGAGGGTGTTCCACAGGGCAGGCGCCACTACCGAGAAGGCCCTCTGCCTGGTTCCCTATAACCTCACTTCTCACAGTGAGGGAACTGCCAGAAGGCCCTCAGCACTGGACCTCAGTGTCCGGTCGGTACAATGGGGATGGAGACGCTCCTTCAGGTATACAGGACCGAGGCCATTTAGGGCTTTAAAGGTCAGCACCAAGACTTTGAATTGTGCTCGGAAATGGACTGGGAGCAAATGAACTCCAATAGGAGTGAGTTCCATAGTTTCACTATGTGCCACGAAACCCCTCAGTCCTATGCGTGTTCCTCAGAATTAAGTCCCACTGAATTTTGTGGGGCTTCCCCAAATGTCTATACTGGATGACACTTTAAGGCTGGAATCCTATGAACATTTACTCTGGAATTTGGGGTGGGTGTGATTTCAGACATAACATGCACAGGATCTCATTGCAAGTTAAGGCTGGCATTTGGGAGAGATCTTTGAGCTTCTTTCCCAAGCTGACACCTACTCACATCGGACGGGTAGATCTTGGTGCTCGATTTGTCGTACACTTCGACCGTGATGGTATACTCTCGCTTCACTTCTAGGATCCACCTGTTGCCGGGCTGGACAGTGAAACCTGCAATCAGTTGCACAACGGAAGCCAAACGAAAAGCATTTCTGTAAGATGAGGCAAAGGAAACAAACTGCATGGTGCTAAGTTTTACATTTAGCAGCTGGGGCAGCCGGCATCGTGTTCACTGGACATTGCCCATACTTGGCTCCCTTGTTGGCCTTCTCTTCCTGAGAACCTCAACCTCAGACAACTCAGTCGTCTTTCTTATGACTAGCCCAGGGGGTGTTGGCTTCCTCTTCCCCCTTAGCCTCGGCTTTGCCCTTCCCTTTTCAGCAGGGAAGACGATGATGGGGACAAAACGAGAAGCTAGTTGGCTTCACCTATCATTTGCTCTGCCTCCACCTATTATAGGTCTCTGCCTCGAGTCCTACCAGTGGCAACGGGCACCAGCCTTCACCGCTGCTGAGGCAGGACCTCTTCTAAGTTCCCTCCCTTCCCAGAGTGATAGAATCCAGCTCTGTGCTGACCAGAAAAGGTACAAGAGATACCGTATTTTTCGCTCTGTAACACGCACTTTCCCCCTCCTAAAAAGGGGAAATGTGTGTGTGTTTTATGGAGCGAACGCAGGCTCCATGGCTTCAGCAAAAGCAACACAAAGCCTCCAGAGCCCAGCGGAAGCTCTGTGTTGCTTTCGCTGAAGCCAGGAGAGCAAGAGGGGTCGGTGCGCCCCAATCCCTCTTGCTCTCCTGGCTTCGCTTCGCTGGAGAGGCGCTGCACAGCTTTCCTCTCTGTGCAGCGCCCCTTCAGCCAAGCGGGAGGAAAAACGGAAGGGGCTCCGTTTCTCCTGCCGCTTCGCTGAAGGGGCGCTGCGCAGAGAGGGAGAGAATTTTTTTTTTAGGTGTATCTTATGGTCAGGTGCGACTTATAGAGCGAAAAATATGGTAAATTCCCCAACAGGATGGCTGCAAAGGGAGTTACAGGCTGCACAGCAACCATACCTTTAAAGCACATCCTGGGAATTGTGGTTCATTCAGGGTGCTGGGAATTGTAGCTCTGTGAAGGTTAAACCACAGCTCCCAGGATTCTCTGGGGGAATTAATGTGTTTTAAAGGAACAGTGTACACACAGCCCAAGCTGTGTGCCCCACCTCTTCCATCCCCAGCTTTGGAGGTGAGGCCAGATGCACATCGCCACTGTCACCCACATCACCCTCTTCGTTAGGAAAAAGCCCAAGTGCCTATATAGTCGAAACTCTGCACGGAGATGCAGGAGGGACCGTTTACCTAAATATCCAGGCTCCACAACGTATATGCTGCAGTTGGGAAGTCCAGAGGAGGCTCGCATGTGGATGTCTTAATCTTTTTGGTAAGGAATTCAGCCTCGTCGTAAATTGAGAGGAGAAGGATGAAAGGGGCAGAGGATGTTTCACATCAAACACGGGGTTGGATCCGGTATGGCGCTAAACTGAAACCACTTAGCGGTATGCTTGTTCTGCTGGTGAAAAGTTTTGCCCCAGTAGAATATTGTTGCGCAAGAGAATGTATTAGCAGGTTGCCAACAACTCTGGTCACATTCACACCGTGCATTTAAAGCCCCATGATACTAGTTTTGACAGTCATGGCGGCTTCTCCCAAAGATTCTGGGAGTTGTCATTTATTAGGACAGCTGAGAGTTGTTAGGGGGCCCCTATTCCCCTCACAGGGATGCGGGTGGCGCTGTGGGTTAAACCACAGAGTCTAGGACTTGCCGATCAGAAGGTCGGCGGTTCAAATCCCCGCGACGGGGTGAGCTCCCGTTGCTCGGTCCCTGCTCCTGCCAACCTAGCAGTTCAAAAGCACGTCAAAGTGCAAGTAGATAAATAGGTACCGCTCCTGGGGGAAGGTAAACGGCGTTTCCATGTGCTGCTCTGGTTCGCCAGAAGTGGCTTAGTCATGCTGGCCACATGACCCGGAAGCTGTACGCCGGCTCCCTCAGCCAATAAAGATGAGCCCCACAACCCCAGTCGGCCACAACTGGATCTAACGGTCAGGAGTCCCTTTACCTTTATTCCCCTCACAGAGCTACAATTCCCCAAGTGGTTTAACACTCAATCCCTCTTTCACAGGGAACTTGGAGAATTAAAGCTCTGTGGGGGACTAAGGGGAGGGAGGTATCTCCTAACAACTCTTAGCACACTCAACGAACTATAGCTCCCATAATTCTTGCACGATGAGTTTCTGCTGGTGCAGCTGTTGTGTTGGGATTCCTCTGTTGCACAACATTTAACACACACACACACCGCTAGTGCATGAGCCCTTGTGCAACAATGAAAAGTGGGTGTGCTTAGCCTCCTGGAAGCTATTCAGGGATGCCTCAGGATTTCAGGGGTCATGCGTCAGGGAAGACCGAAACAGCTAGTTGCTTAGGAATAATAGGTCAGGAGGTACCCAAAGACTGAGGCGGGGTGTGTGTGGGATATTTGTGTTTGCAACCCTAATCCTAACCCAATGATTTATGCACAGAAATGGAAAGCAGCAGCAGCTCCAACCAAGGAGGACTGGCAGATAAAACTGATGGTAGTAGTCTGAGATCGGTAAACTTACAGAAGAATAAGGTACCAGGAAGAAAGAACCTTTAACAAAGACTGGGGAAAGTTTGTTGAACATTTGAAAAATTATTGTAAGCAACTTAAAACGTTAGCGGGGTTTATATAGAACGAGAAATAAAGGCAAATAAAGGATTTTTAAAAAGAGGAATAAACAATTAAGGAATTAATTTAGATATGCAGTAGTAAAGAGAAAATTAAAGGAACCACAGATGGGGGTGGGGGGAAGTGAATTTGATGTGCATTTTTTGTTTCATTAAATAATTTGATTGTTGCAAAATTGGAAAATGATAAAAATTAAAAGAAAAGAAGCAGCAAACTGCAGCCCGGTCTAAGTTCTTTAAGGATACTTTTATGGACTAAGACCAGGTTAACCTGTCCCAGCTGAATGGCGGTGATGGTAGCTGTCTTTGCATCCAGTTTGGCCACGGGGAGGCCAGAAGCGTTAGGCGCCTTCACTGCATCTTGTAGCTCCAGCTCATAGTGCTCAAGAGGCAATTGCACCTCTGCGGAGATAAAGGGCCGGCCAAGCTCAGTCAGTTATTCCCAGCCATAGCTGCTGCGCTCAGGTGTGTTCTTTACACAGCCTCCCTCTCCCACCCCAACCCAGCAGGGATGTCAGGGCAGTGACCATGTATTGCCTTTGGCTTCAGTGCTATTCATAGTAAGTATGATTCAATTTTCCAACTCAATAAAAGCACTGAATCTGGGCAAGGCATTATAGGCCAAAACTAATAGTTAGTAGCTGTAGTTCAATAAAGTCTGGAGGATGGCAGATCTGCCACCACTGGTACATATCCTTCAACCAACCCACCCTTACTAGTGAATGAGTTTCATTGAACACTGTGGGGCTCACTTCTGAGTAAGCATCAGTGTTAGAAACTGAGGTGTGAAAGCTAGGAGCTAAATGGCACCTTAAACCTAGGTTATGTCTCGCCAGAGTGGTGCATGCTCTAGTTATCTCCCGCTTGGACTACTGCAATACGCTCTACGTGGGGCTACCTTTGAAGGTGACCCGGAAACTGCAATTAATCCAGAATGCGGCAGCTAGACTGGTGACTGGGAGTGGCCGCTGGGACCACATAACACCGGTCCTGAGAGACCTGCATTGGCTCCCAGTACGTTTCTGAGCACAATTCAAAGTGTTGGTGCTGACCTTTAAAGCCCTAAACGGCCTCGGTCCAGTATACCTGAAGGAGCGTCTCCACCCCCATCGTTCAGCCCGGACACTGAGATCCAGCGCCGAGGGCCTTCTGGCAGTTCCCTCACTGCGAGAAGCCTAGTTACAGGGAACCAGGCAGAGGGCCTTCTCAGTAGTGGCACCCACCCTGTGGAACACTCTCCCTTCAGATGTGAAGGAAATAAGCAGCTATCCTATCTTTAAAAGACATCTGAAGGCAGCCCTCTTCAGGGAAGTTTTTTATATTTAATGCTGTACTGTTTTTAACACTTGATTGGGAGCCGCCCAGAGTGGCTGGGGAGACTCAGCCAGATGGGTGGGGTATAAATAATAAATGATTATTATTATTATTATTATTATTATTATTATTATTATTATTATGTCTAGGCGTGCTATTTTTATAACAAGAATGCAAAGCTAAAAATGAATGAACTGCAGCTAAAATATTATGTTCATTTTTCACATGGTCTAGTCCTTCCCCTGCCCACCCCCACCCCCTAATATTCTTCTCCAGTCTTCAGAGAGTAACTGGAAGTGAGGAGGCTGAAAAAGGTCCTTATTCCTTCCACTCTGCAGTTTTAATCTGAAATCTTAGGTGCAGTACTGCACTCAGAGCTCAGAAACTGCTCACGCTAATGACATTCCCTGTCGCAAAATGTGCCTAGAATAGTGAGAGTTTCTGACACTGGTGTAGAATTTCGCAGCCAGGAGACTAAATTATGCATCGAGTCACCCAGAAGATTAGGAATGTACCTGTGATCTTTCCCTGAACTATTTTGCCAACTTTGTACTCAATGTAGGCTCCGACCAGCAAGTAGACATCATAGGACGGGATTAAGAATATGTTCTCCAAAACCAGCAGGCGCACCAGGGCAGCAGCAACTTTCTGGAAGATTGAGAAACCACCACCAGAGGCACGCAGAGAGGAATGTACACATAAAGAAATATGTATTATGCTTTGCAGTCGTTTTACAAGTAAGACTCTTTCAAAACTGAAAAAGGACTGAGCGATTCCATCGCAATATATGCCCCCTCCTAGTTGGCATTCAAGATAGTTGCTTTGGTTTCATCTCCACAGAGTGCAGGAGCAACGATGGCTCCACCAGACCACTTTCTGCTTGTTTAAAACTGCCCCGTCACCTCCACTCCATACATCTAAAGCACTCTTAGAATCACAGAATGAGTTGGAAAGGACGCCAAAGGTCATCTAATCCAACCCCCTGCAATTCCCCTGGGAATTGGTTTGCAAAGGATGCTGACAGTTGTTAGCAGGACCTCTGTTCCTCTTAAAGGTAAAAGGTAAAGGTACCCCTGCCCGTACGGGCCAGTCTTGACAGACTCTAGGGTTGTGCGCCCATCTCACTCAAGAGGCCGGGGGCCAGCGCTGTCCGGAGACACTTCCGGGTCACGTGGCCAGCGTGACATCGCTGCTCTGGCGAGCCAGAGCCGCACACGGAAACGCCGTTTACCTTCCCGCTAGTAAGCGGTCCCTATTTATCTACTTGCACCCGGGAGTGCTTTCGAACTGCTAGGTTGGCAGGCGCTGGGACCGAACAACGGGAGCGCACCCCGCCGCAGGGATTCGAACCGCCGACCTTTCGATTGGCAAGTCCTAGGCGCTGAGGCTTTTACCCACAGCGCCACCCGCGTCCCACCTGCTCCTCTTACAGAGCTCCTATTTCCAGAGTTTCCAGATTGTCAAACCACTCTGGGAAGCGTAGCTCAGTGAATGATCTCCTAACAACTCTATTTAACAAACAACAGATTATTTGGAGGAAGCCATGACTGTTAAAGTGGCAATGAGCACTCTGAATGTATGGTGTGGATGTCACCTCTATAGCTTTGGTAGGCCCTGACCTTGCCTTGCACTGCTGGGACCCCTCTGGGAGGGCACAGCGAGTACTCACCTTGTAAACAGGCTCCTGTATTCGGACCTTTACGACGGCTGCGCCTGTTTTGATCCCTGACACCAGAATCCTATCTCCTTGTTTCTCCTCTCTTTCCATCTCAACTACGTAGTCGGGCGGAGAATATTCTGCCTCAGAGTATTTTAAAATCCTAAAGAAACCAAACTGGGCTTTTACTGGGAGAACAAAGGTCTGTCACTGCATTAAGAGTAAATAAACAACCAGGGTGAAATGTATAGGGTGGGTGAAAAACCTGCAGCCACTGTTAAGACCCCCAAACCCATCAGCCCCAGCCAGCATGGCCAGTGGACAGGTGGTGGCGGCGGCCACTGGAATCTAGCAACAAGTTAGATGCCCCTCTTACAGGAGATAGGGAAGGGGACATGAGCTATATGGGACTCTCACATTTATGCATCTGAGGACTTAACAACAGTGAGCACCTCTCCTTAGATGGAAGTAATGAGTTCAAAGCAAGGATGCAATAGAATGAAATCTATCAACTTCAGCAGTCTACCCAGTGGAGCACACACACAGGCTCCCGTGTCGTTTAGGATTTTATTAATCACACTTGGCCATTTGGGGTTTCGTCTTACCTAATTTTGCTCGAGAGCTCCACGTTTTCCAACTCATCGTCCTTGGCGATGCTCCACTCAAATTCCAACCCCTCCAAGCTGCTGAACGTGTTCCCTGCAGGCAGGATCCAAAAACGAGCCCAGGCTCAGGGCCAAAGGAGATGCGATGTGATTATGTCTGTCATGTAGCTTAGCTTTGTATGACTGGTTTTTTGTTTTTAAGTCACACAGGGGTGGGGAGGGAGGATCAGGACCACAGAATGAGGGGCGAGGGCTTGAACCCTCTGACCATGCTATAGTCCTGATCTGGCTTTTGCTCCAAAGCTATCTCACCTTGAGATCCTTGCTGGCAACAGAGAGGAAGATGCTAACAGGTCTTGTTCCAAAACTATGTGAGTGTGAAGATGAGCAGAAGCATCAGGTGAAATACAGAGAAGAATGCAAATTATGTTGTTGTGGATAAAATAGGGCACCTGCTTGCTAACTTTAGGCGTACAACATAAATAAAAAGTTAACAGAGCACTGTGACCTATCTTGTCATGTCAAAGAGGCGAAAGAAGAGTCCCACTAGCAGGCCAAAAGGGTTATCAACTCCAGAGAGAAAAGTAATTAAGAATAACAACAATAATGTAGACAGAGTGCTATGCGCTATAAATGACTGGCTGCCTCACACCCAGCATTGCTTGTGAATTCTAAAAAACAAACAAACAAATCAGTGCAGTTTTGAAAGGTGCAGTTTGCAGTCTTGATTCAAAATGGTGTCCAAAATTTGGTTACAATATTTTAAGAGGTTTCCAAATGCAGAGCATACAGATATCTTTCCAAAATATACAGTAGGTGTTCCAAGTGTCACAGGCTGCCCCTGGTAAGATTACCTTCAGCATCCAGAGCTCTCACACTCAGCTCGAGTGGGGAGTCTTCCACATAGATCTCTCGAGTGCGGGAAATGATCTCAACATGGTCTATCAGATCCACAATGACATCGCAACGCAGCAGATGACCTGTCACTGGGAGGAGGAACAAAAGTGGGTGTCGCCCACCCACCACATGAAATCCTGTATCTGTGTTTCATAACAGGGGAAGAATAAGGGTGGATGTGGACAATCCCTGTTGTCTGGGAAACTTTTCTGAGCCCCCAAATTGCTCATTCAGTGATAAAGGGAAGGCACTCTCTGTACATGCTCAGCGTTTGGGGTTCTTCATTCCCCAGGTTTGCATGGCACCCTAGACCCCTATCCCTACAGAAACAAATCTGTTTCAGAATTCCCCTTCTTTAGATCACCTACCTGTCTCCTCTGCTAAAATAACGCTGGCCAGCTTTGTGGCCTGTGTAGAGCAGGTGGTCAACAAAGCTTTCTGAGAGCAAGCCGTCCCATTCTCGTACATTGGATCAATGGTGACTGTGTCATGGCGTGTGGAGTACCTGCAGAGCAGATGAGACAAGGCTTGCACGCTCCTGTGCCCCTCTCTCAAGGAAGAGCAGAGAGATGCAAATGTGGAACTGAGGCAGCAAGGAATCCTTGATCTTCTTGGTGGCAAGGGCCACCTGCCACTTGGCTCCTCCCCTTTGTCTCCATCAGCAGAAATTCCACCGGGTCCTTTGAGCAGTTATGTAAGAACAAGTACCCAAATTCGCTCAGCTCCCTCTCCCTCCTCTCATTTTTTGGATGGTGTCTTTTGTAAGCATTTGTTTTTTTAAATGATACATTGATTTGAGTGCTTTTGAGGGAAGGCAAATATATCAATCTCACTATTTATCATTTGCTCATCAGTTCTATGTTTTCATGTCACTGCCACTTGCTACAGCATGAGGTGAATGGGAAGGAGAGCCATTGGTGGTGCAGTAGTTAGTGTGTTGCACTAGGAGCTAAGAGACCTGGGTTCAAATCACCCCACTCAGCCATGAAGCTGACTAGGTGTTGATACCTCTTTCGGCTTAACCTACCTCGCAGGGTTGTTGGGAGGATAAAATGGAGAGTTTTCAATGCGCAATAATCGAGGCTTAGATTAGCATGGACACGGGTGGCGCTGTGGGTTAAACCACAGAGCCTAGGACTTGCCGATCAGAAGGACGGTGGTTCGAATCCCTGCAACGGGTTGAGCTCCCGTTGCTCGGTCCCTGCTCCTGCCAACCTAGCAGTTCGAAAACACGTCAAAGTGCAAGTAGATAAATAGGTACCACTCCAGCGGGAAGGTAAACGGCGTTTCCGTGCGTTGCTCTGGTTCGCCAGAAGTGGCTTAGTCATGCTGGCCACATGACCTGGAAGCTGTACGCCGGCTCCCTCGGCCAATAAAGCGAGGTGAGCGCCGCAACCCCAGAGTTGGCCACGACTGGACCTAATGGTCAGGGGTCCCTTTACCTTTTACCTAGATTAACCTCATAGAACTCCTTGTGGAGAAAAAGGCAGGATGTAAATAAATAAAACACTGCGAGTACATTCCTATTTTTCTGGATCTTGAAGCGGCTTAGCCTGGTTCCCCTTCTCCCCTGCCTACCCCAACACGGAGCATTTTATCTTCAAAGCAACTGCGAGGAGGTCAGGCTATTAGACTGCATACGGCCAACAAGCACTTCTGGTATTAATGAAAATGTTGAAATGCTGTTCCCTTGGCCACGCCCACCATGACGTCACTACCACACCCGCGTTTTCTCCGCCTAGGCCCCGCCCCTCACCAGGAGTAGCAACCGCCCTCAGCGCCCAGCACGAAGGGGACGCGCTTGTCCCGGCTGAAGGGCAGCAGCACCTTCGGCGTGTTCAGCTTATAGGCGCCGGCCGGCCTCGCCAAAAGCGCCAAGCCAAGCAGGAAAAGGGCCGGCCTTCCTGGAGGGGCCCAGCCCAGCCCCATCGTCGGAAGAAAAGCCCCAAGCCGCCGCGGCGCAAAATGGCCGCGGGACCCCTTCTGCCTCGCACGAGCCCTAGTTCTGCGCATGCGTCGGCGCTTAGGAACCTTGTTAGCACGCTGGACGTTCTGCCCGTGCGCATGCGCGCTCTCACCTTTCCCACCCCTTCGAGTACTCGCGCTTGGTCTCTTTTGCCCTTTCCCGCCTCTCCACCGGACTCGGTCTGCGCATGCTCCATCTCACCTCGTGGCCCGTTTTGCGGTTTAAGCTAAGGGCCTGCCTGCGCGCATGCGCAGCCCGAGGTCGGAAGTCTACGGGTTCGACTCGAAGCCTGTGCTAGGATTTTTGCAATTTTTCCTAATTCAGGTGCTTCTGACGGCTGCAGCCTTAATAGAGGCAAGGCATTACGCATTGCGTGCGGAGAGGTCATCTCTTAATCCAGGCATGGCCAAACTCGGCCCTCCAGCTGTGTTGGGACTATAATTCCCATCATCCCTGACCATTGGTCCTGCTAGCTAGGGATGATGGGAGTTGTAGTCCCAAAACAGCTGGAGGGCCAAGGTTGGCCATGCCTGTTTAATCAATGGAGGAAGGCAGGAGGGCTTGCACTAACCCAGTGTTTCCCACGCTTGGGTCTCCAGCTGTTTTTGGACTACAACTCCCATCATCCCTAGCTAGCAGGACCAGTGCTCAGGGATGATGGAAGCTGTAGTCCAAAAACATATGGGGACTTAAAGCTGGCCGGCTGGCCTGTTTTTCACAGGACAGGGCTGCTGCAAAGATTATTTTTTTTGAAAAAATGGGTGGAATAGAGTTTAGGCTTGTCACTCTGTTCTTAACTTACCATGCATGGTCCCTGGAGGGATAAGATGGTTGCAGACTTCTGTCAATCACTTTCTCCCTTAGCCTAACCTCCACAAGGTGGCTGTGAGGATTAAAGGAGTATATGGGAGTGGTTTTCAACCAGCGTGCCGTGGCACCCTGGGGTGCCTTGAATGATGGTCAGGGGTGTTGTGGGCAGCACTGGCCTCTCCCTCTTTCCTTCCCTCCCTCCTCTGATACCCTCTTGAGTCTCTGGCTCCCAAAGGTTTGCACAGCTCTTTGTTGCAGCGGCCCTGGCTACAAGCTCCCCAGGCGAATGGTGCCTCTGGGGCTGACGGAGGGGGTGCTTCCCAGACCCCTCTAGGGCACTGTGAGGAGACACCTCTCTTTGGGGTGTGTGGGGGCAGCTCAGAGACCAGGGGTGGTGGCAGTGGCTGTCCAGAGAACTCCCGAGGAGAGGGGTGTGGAAAGGAGGCTGTGGAAAGACTCCACAAGGGAGGGTATGCAAAAAAGGGTGAGAGGCTGCCGGCTCTGCAGGCATAACTGGGCTCCTGAGCCCCACTGGGGTGCTGCAGAAAGAATGTAGTTGGTCAAGGGAGCTGTAGACTGAAGGTTGAAAACCTCTAGTGTATGGTATGAGAAGAATGCCACATACTGTCCTGTTCTTTGGAGGCGGCATGAGAGAAATTTGTAAATAATGTATGCCTACCCTCTTAAGTGAGGGACGCGGGTGGCGCTGTGGGTAAAAGCCTCAGCGCCTAGGGCTTGCTGATCGAAAGGTTGGCGGTTCGAATCCCCGCGGCGGGGTGCGCTCCCGTCGCTCGGTCCCAGCGCCTGCCAACCTAGCAGTTCGAAAGCACTCCCGGGTCCAAGTAGATAAATAGGGACCGCTTACAAGCGGGAAGGTAAACGGCGTTCCGTGTGCTGCGCTGGCTCGCCAGAGCAGCGATGTCACGCTGGCCACGTGACCCGGAAGTGTCTTCGGACAGCGCTGGCCCCCGGCCTCTTGAGTGAGATGGGCGCACAACCCTAGAGTCTGGCAAGACTGGCCCGTACGGGCAGGGGTACCTTTACCTTTACCCTCTTAAGTGTCTAAATGCCTTGGCAAAGAGGTGGCACAGTATTTGCACCACTCCCTTTAGAAGTGCTGTCAAGACTGGAACAGTACACTGCAGGAATGCCTTTGCACAAGGTCTTTAGTAATACAGTGATACCTCGGGTTACATATGCTTCAGGTTACATACGCTTCAGGTTACAGACTCCGCTAACTAAGAAATAATACCTCCGGTTAACAACTTTGCTTCAGGATGAGAACAGAAATTGTCCTCCGGCGGCACGGCGGCAGTGGGAGGCCCCATTAGCCAAAGTGGTGCTTCAGGTTAAGAACAGTTTCAGGTTAAGAACAGACCTCCGGAACGAATTAAGTACGTAACCCGAGGTACCACTGTACCCTTTTTCTCTGGCATATTTTTATCTGCAGGGATTGCCAACGTGGCACCCACAAAACGTCTCGATGAACATCCCCTCAAAATTTCACAGTGGGCAGGGAAAGGTTTGCTTTTCCTTCTCAGTCCCCGTGTACACTGACTCTGTTCCACTTCTGCACTGAACACACCATGTTAAATATGTCTGCATTTCAGTGTGTGCCAGGATCGAATGCCCACCTTCCCGTTAAGTTTTGAACAGGGGAGAACAAGCAAAGAGCTATCTCCCTGGAAACATCTGTGGTGGTACCTGATGTAAGTTCCCCATTGATAGGACAGCTGATATTTGGAGGTGGACAGTTTGCCCACACCATCGAGCGACTGAAAGCCCAGTTCCATCAGGCACCTCCTATCCTTGAACTGGGTTAAGGTAAAGGTAAAGGTATCCCTGACCATTAGGTCCAGTCGTGGCCGACTCTGGGGTTGCGGCGCTCATCTCGCTTTATTGGCCGAGGGAGCCGGCGTACAGCTTCCAGGTCATGTGGCCAGCATGACGAAACCACTTCTGGCGAACGCCGTTTACCTTCCTGCCGGAGCGGTACCTATTTATCTACTTGCACTTTGACGTGCTTTTGAACTGCTAGGTTGGCAGGAGCTGGGACCGAGCAACGGGAGCTCACCCCATCGCAGGGATTCGAACCACCGACCTTATGATCAGCAAATCCTAGGCTCTGTGGTTGAACCCATAGCGCCACCCGCGTCCCTGAACTGGGTTAACTGGCCATTATAAGAACAAATTGTTTAAGAATTGGTGTGAGAATATAATTTCCCCCTCTCTTCCTTTCCTGTCCCCTTGCATTTTGTGTGTGTGTGTGGGTTGTTATTTTTTAACTGTAAGCCTGCGGACAGGGACAGTCTCTCTTAATTGAGGGATCCACTCTGGGAGCCTTTTTAGCTAAACAGTGGGACACAAATGCTCTTAATAATTTCATGATTCCGTCTTTTTCTGCTCTCGCATGTGGCAGTTGTTTTGTGTTATGCCACAGCACCCTCCCCAAATTGCACAGAGGTGCAGGAAACCTTTGGCCATCCAGATGTTGCTGAACTACAACTCCCATAATCCCTGATCACTGGCCATGCTTGCTGGGACTGATGGGAGCTGTATTTCATTGACATCTGGTTCCCCAATGGCTCCCTGCATTTGTGTTGAGGAGTTGCATCCATTGATCCACCCACTTTATACCAATAGCAGGTGGTCTTCAGAAGGTTCACCGCACCCCTGCCTATGGGACTTGGAAGTTAGTATAGTGGTACCCCAGTTTTCGAACAGCTTAGTTCTTGAACTACTTGGAACCCGAACGCTGCAAACCTGGAAATAGGTGTTCCAGTTTTCAAACTTTTTTTTGGAAGCCAAACATGCTCGGTTTGAGTCCCTACGCTGTTCCGCTTCCTTTCTGAATGTGTTCCGTTTGTAAATTGAGTCCCCCCCTGCTAATTGGAGACTTCCTCTTCCTTTCTGAGGGTTCCATTCTGTCGGCTGTTGAGTCCTGAGCACCCAGGAAACGCGGAGGTGATATTTGTAGCTTATATTTGGTGCTTTTGTTTTCCCCTTTTTTCTTTTGCATATGTGCTTGTGTGGCTTTTTCATTTTCATGGGCTGTGGCTTGTGACTTGTTTTTGTGACTGTGTGGAACCCAGTTCAGCTACTGATTGATTGTGTGATTGCTTAAATGGATAAAAGCAGCAAGGGCAAGAAAACCATTAAGAGAACAACTGCAAGGTAAAGGGATCCCTGACCGTTAGGTCCAGTTGCGGACGACTCTGGGGTTGCAGCGCTCATCTCTCTTCACTGGCCGATGGAGCCAGCGTACATGTGGCCAGCAGGACTAAGCCGCTTCTGGCGAACCAGAGCAGCACACAGAAATGCCATTTACCTTCCCGCCAGAGTGGTACCTATTTATCTACTTGCACTGCATGCTTTCGAACTGCTAGGTTGGCAGGAGCAGGGACTGAGCAACGGGAGCTCACCCCGTTGTGGGGATTCGAACAGCCGACCTTCTGATCGGCAAGCCCTAGGCTCTGTGGTTTAACCCACAGCGCCCCCCGCGTCCCCTAACAACTGTAGAGGTAGTACAATTCATGTTAAATTTCTGTTTTAGGGGTTGGTTTTAAAAGTCTGGAACAGATTAATCCGTTTTCCATTACTTTCTACGGGAAAGCGTGCCATGGTTTTGGAACGGACTTCCGGAACGGATTAAGTTTGAGAAGCAAGGTACCGCTGTACCTGTAAAGCCATCTCTTCCCCTGCTGGTAATTTACTCCCCGCATTAATATCAATAAATTAACAAGGCCCTTGTGAAATACAAGAAGAAAGTTGCAACAGTGGAGGGAATGCTTCTGTTTATTATTTCCCAAAAGAATCAGACAATAAAAGACAAGTTTTTTTAGTATCAAAATACTTGATATGGTTCCTCATTTTTTCCACACTGGCCGCTAAAAAAAAAAAAAAAAAGGACCGCCACACCATGAACACTTGTTCCTCTCTCTGCTTCAAGGCACCCCCCTCCTTTTTTTTTACACAAAGGCAAAAATAAACCCCACACACCTTGATAAATCAAGTCTCCAAACAGCAAAGGGCCTTGTGGCGGCTGGTATCCAGTTTTTTTTTCTTTTGTTTTAAGACAGTACAGTAAGATCCCGCGGCTCAAGAAGGGGAGGGAACCAACCCCTTGCGTCCGGAAGAGCACTAGGATAAAAAGAGAGCTCCTCTCCTCATGCTCACACACCCATACACAGAAGCTACAAAAGCTTTTTTACTCAAAAAAGCACAGAGCAAGCTAAGCCTAGCTGGGGAAGAGAGATTTCTTGGTTACAGGAGGCTGGGGAGCAGCCTGTCCTTAGTAACCAGGTGTAAGAAGCTTGAAGGAGGGGAGAAGGCCAAGGTGCTCGAGGAAAAGAGTTAGGTGCGTGTTTAGAGAGCGAAATG